AGAAGCCTACTCTTTTCTAGGAGGTGTTGGTTTGGGCCCGAGAAACACCTGAGGAACGTCAAAGAAGATTAGAAGAGGTGCGTGTCTCAATTAGCAGTGCTGGGGTCCGAGAAACACCTGAGAAAAGTCAAAGAAGATTGGAAGAAGATCGTGTCTCTACTAGCAGTGCTAGGGCCCAAGGATATGAAGACAAAATTGCAGGACAGGAACACTTCAATTGTCCACTAATCTTCTGATTTCCTGCTATGTTTTAAAAAACTTTATTTGTGAAAACCTTTAGCGTGGCGGACAGCTGGCCGCCTTAGGCGGCTAATTCTTAAATCAAAATCAAAATCTATGACATTTCAGAAATTTTATAACTCAAGAACTATTCAACTAAACTTTGTATTTTTCCATTTAAAAATAATTTGAAAGGTAAAAGTTTGTAAATATCTTCATCATTTTTCTATAACTGAATAATACAATAAAAAAATGTTAACTAAACATGAACAAATATTTTTTCGATAGAATTAACTTTAATAAAAAAGTATTTGGGTGTTCCTAAAAAGATATTAATTGACTAAAAACGTTTTCGTGACATGACTTTCTATGATTTAATGTGACTAAATTTTCCAGACATTTCAAATCCACTGAAAAAAAAGAAAACGAATGTTTTAATTGTTTATTCATATGAAATACGTTTTTGTGTCCGATTTTGTAACTTAATTAATTTCTCCGATGTACGTGACTCGAGCAATTAAGAATAATGGCAATTAATATTAAAGAAAATTTCAATCATTAGTACAAAGAGCCGTATTGGCTTAGAAGATAGAATGTTAGCCTTTCACTGAGGTTAATCAGGTTCGAATCTCAGGTATGGCTGATCGATACGAATTTCGCTGTCGATACGAATTCTGCTGACGTAAAATATCCTCAATGTTAGACAGATCATGGATTAGAGTCCCTTTTCCGCATGGTTAACCGTGGGAGGTTTTTATGGCTTTCCTCTCCATGTAACTCAAGTGGCGGTTAATTCTATCAAAGAGTCCTACACGAAAGCAAATTTCTCTAAATACTTGATCCAGGCGTTCCCTTGTCGTCTGGATTGAGTTTAAAATTATAAGACTACGAAGTTGAACATTAACAATCGTAAACCCAAAAATTGGGTCGGCTGTTCAACGATGGTTATAAAATAAAATTAAATAAATTGACAGTAATAAAAAAAAAAAAAAAAAACACGATGGAAACGGTAAAAAAAAGACTTAAATTTAGAATACGTATCCTTATTATAAGAAATAAGAAAGGAAAAAAAAGTTTCATTTCAATTTTTTTCAAGTAGTGGATGTTTTAGTGATCAGTTAGCCGATGGTAATGCCTAAAAGTAATGTTAAATATAGACCTCGTTTTTTATGAAACAAAAAAGGAATAACTGTTCGTTATTCTTTTCGTAGTACTGGAGGGTTAGTAAAAATCATCGTAATTGTCAGCAATGCACGGAATTGACACGCTCCAACCCAAATAGAATTCTCAATTACTTGAGCTTGAGCCATATGTTTTATATCAAATTATAAAGATAAATTTGAAAAAAGTTTTATTTCCTTATTTGGTAATTATTTTAGAATTATTGGTCTTCGTTAAACTGTTATACCGTAAAGTGCTCGACTTCACGAGCAGGTCGTCGGGCTACCAAAGCTGGGATACCATTCCCTTTGCAGAAGATCAAAATTGTGATGGCATGTCTTCGGATCATCCTCTGGGATGTTTCCCAGACTGTCGCCAATAGCCCATTGTGCAGCTCTAGTGCGACGTAAATGAACAACAACAACAATGTGGTTCTTGCATGAGGGAGCAGTTTTTTTTTTTAACATATAAGTTCTTAAATTTCCTGCTCGCGTCTAGGACAATTCATGATTGAAAAACTCGACTACGCCATCTGGGGAGAAGAACGGTACCATATCCAGACCCTTCCCTCTCCTCCTCATCATTTCTTAATATTTTTGTTGTTGTTGCAGTTCATTTACGTCACACTAGAGATGCACAATGGGCTATTGGCGACGGTCTGGGAAGCATCCGTCAGGATGATCCGAAGACATGCCATCACAATTCTGATCCTCTGCAGAGGGGATGGCACCCCCGCATCGGTAGCCCGACGACCTGCACGCGAAGTCTAGCACTTTACGGTAGAACAGTTTAACGAGGACCAATACCGCACAACCTTGGTCCCTACGCAAACTGATCCAAGTGGTCACCCACCCACTCACTGACCACAGCCAGTGATGCTTGACTTCGCTGGGAACCGTGTTTTAACGATCAATCCACTGCGGTACTTAATTTTTTTTTCATTTAATTGTCATTGATATTTTTTAAACATTCTTTTCACATAGTTTCCTAACTTAAAAGTTCTTAATATATCTTTAAAATCAAGATAAAAACTTACTTGTTTCTCTTATGGCTCTCCACACGTTTTGATGAAAGCATGTGAAGTATTGTCTTGAGAGTTCTTCTCCACGTCACCTATAGCCAATTGCATAAAGTGTGAATGATCCCCAAATAGAGTGATATTACTTGTTGTTGTTGTAGTTCATTTACGTCGCACTAGAGCTGCACAATGGGCTGGAAACATCCCTGAGGATGATCCGAAGACATACCATCGCAATTTTGATCCTCTGCGTCGGGCTCCTCTGCTTTCGTAGCCCGACGACCTGCACGCGAAGTCGAGCACTTTAACGAGGACCAATACCGCACACCCTCGGTCCCTACGCAGACTAATCCAAGTGGTCACCCACCCGCACACTGACCGCAGCCAGTGATGCATGACTTCGGTGTTCTGGTGGGAACCGTGTCTTAACGATCAGTCCACTGCGGGACTGATATTACTTGTACTTCTCAACAAATCGTTTAACTGAAACAGATAATTTATAGGTATTTATAGATCTTAATTGGGCAAAAATAAGCTGCTTAAAATGTAAACAAATAAGCAATAAAAACTAGAAAGCTCTCATCCTCTCTTATCTTTTGACAAAATAAAAAAAAAAAGTATGAAATAATTATTTACACCTATCTATTTAATGCTGTGCTTGATTTGAAGAGTTTCTTGAGTACCCCAGTATGAATAACAGCCTAAAACATAAATAAAGCAACTTATTTTTAGAATTTGTTTCATTTCTATTTTCGTAATCTTTTAGTTAAATTAGGCATTGTTACCCAGTTACTTCTAATTTTTCCCTAGGGAAATTGATATTGAAGATAAAAGTATACATTTTTAAAACAAAATTTTTTTTAAACTATTATTATAATCTCATTAATTAAAAGTAATAAAAAATATTTTTGGAAAAATTGCAATTCTAATGTTCTAACTAATATTTCATTTTACTTGTGCATCATCTAATTAAACTAGAGTCCCTGCTATCTAACTCTTAAATAGAGAGTTACGACAATGGCTTTAAAATTGTCCGAAATTGCTGGTTTGAGAATAATAATGGAATAGTTGGCGACGCTTCTCCACAATCTGTTTTTCTTCCTCCGTCTTGGGAACTTTAAGCTTTCACAGTGATTTTTATTGTTATTTTAATTTCTTTTTTTTTATAGTCGTGTCGATGGAATCTTGCAGTCAACATTTAGATCACTTTTCGACTAGCTAGAGCACTCGAGACAATAGTAAAGCTCTGTACTTGATGTCAATGTAAGATTCAATCATTTATTGGCCCACAGCAGCAGAACTTTTCACGACATTGCAGTCAAAAGGAGTTATCCATCAATAAAAATTTCTGGCCACTTTAAGACTGACTAGATAATTTTAATTTAAACTGAAGCTCTATGCAGAATTACAATATTATTTGTCATCATTACATGCCAGCAGAATTACCAGCAGAATTTTGTATGAAATTATAACCAAAGGAAACCTATCACCTGTAAAATTTCTGACCGCTTTCTGATTAACTAGAATGCTCTCGTTATGAGAGTCCCTCTGCGTCTGATGACAATGTAAGTTTCAATTTTTTTTAAATCAATCAGAATTAATCAACATACTATCGCAAAGTTAACTGATTATTTGTAGAAATTTTATCCATGTTCCCAAAAACTGGAATATTTAAATCTGATCAGGAGATCTGAGTCAATTATTTCCTGGTAAGTTTGTCATCAAAATTTATAGCTATAATATTTCTGTAATAAATTTATAGTTAATTGAAATTACGACTACTGTCCCATTAACCGACTCTACATTTTAAATGGCACTCTGTTCTGAATGACATCTCAAGTTTTTGATCGTTTTATGATCACTACAAGAAGATTTTTAAATTACAGTGAGTGTATCCCTGTAAGGAATTTGGCTTCAATCTGAATTTCGACGTCTTTCCAACTAGTTAAAGTGTACTTAAATGAACTTAACACTGTTAGATGGAAATGATAGTTTCAATTATTTCTCCATCTATATAAGCATACTTTAGATTGTGAAGTGGAATTTATCAGCCATCTTTCGTCCATTTTCTGACTAGCTAGAATGTTTAAATTTCTACAAGAGCTCTGTTTCTGATGACAATAAGTAATTATTTTTTAATAGTTCAAGCTAAATTTATTAACAAACTTATAATTTTTTAGACATTCTGACTTTATTTAAAAGGCACCAAACTGAAAAGGAGAAAATAATTAAAATTTTTCCAGATGAAAAGGCAAAAAGTGTAGTTTTTGTAATATCTTTCATCACCGCCAAAAATCTCCTCTTCGTCTTTTGAAAGTGACGTGTCTTACTTTTTTCCTTTCTTATTTGTTAAAAATCAAATTATTTTCGTATTTTTTCATCCACTTGAAGTGTTTCATTTTATTTTCTTATAACTAGTTCATTATATCCCAATTTCCATTTTATATTGTGACCAACTTTTATAGAAATTCAAATTTTTTTATGCTTATTGAATCTTTTGATTAAATGAGTGTATCATTAAATCCAGGTTATAAAATTTAAGTTAAGAGAAAATGAATTGTAACAACATTTTATTTTTTGCATAACAATAATGAAAAATAAAAAAAAGTAATACACTTTGGAAAAAGATCTAAAATATCTCAATAAAATTCAGAGTGATATGATTTTTCATTATGTATAGTAACATTATTTTATTTTTTGAATAACGATAATGAAAAATAAAAAATCATACACTATGCAAGAAATTTTAAAAACAACACTCAATAAAATGCAAGCAAAGTGGTTTAAAAGATCTTTTAATTAAACTTAAATCTATCTTAACTTAAGGGAATATATATTTACTAAATCTATAAATTTATTTTCATTACAAACTTAAAGTAACATAACCCATTTTTTAATCAATAATGCATGAGTAACTTATTAAAAAAATGACATATTTGTTTTTTAAAAAAAAAAAAAAAATAGATATCAAAATCAGGTATTGTATATAATCATTAAAAAACCAATTTACATTTCTATAAAAACATACAATAGCCAGTAAAAGTTAATATTTCAGCAATAAAAAATAATCTAAACTTAAAGAACCTAAGAAAACATTGACAAATAAAAACCATGGACAAAAATAATGACAAATCAACATAATTGAAAAATGAATAAACAGCCTTTTCAGAATTTTCCTTGTTGCTATGGTATCAATATTTAGTTACATTACAATTCGTTTTTCTTTTCCCAGCCAAGAAAGAGACAAGAAATTATGCCAAAGTACAGCAAATTGTTGATGTACAAATTAATCTCTTTGAATATAAAGATATAATTTATTTTCAAAATTTTCTCCAAGAAATAATTTCTTAAGGAGAAAAGTAAAATTTTCTCAAAAAATTAATGATTTATTTGGAATTATAATAACATAAATAACTTGACAAAAAGGAAAAGTAGAGCTATCATAATTTTTAAAATCTAATTATTTCGCAAAAGAAATGATTTTTTAACATTGTATTTGTGTATAAAAGATAGCTTTGAACAATTTCGAATAATTTTAAAAGCAAAAGAAAAAAATATGTACCCGAAATTATGAGATTCCACAAGATTAAAATACCTTGTCGATCACACTATGTTTAATTTACAAGAAAAATTTTCCTTCATTTTGTTTAGGTAAATTTTGGCTCCCGACCAATCAGAGAATGTCACTCACATGTTATAACTCTCTAGCGAAGTTAGATGGAAATAACTTTAATTTACACAAAGAATCATAATTATTGTTAATTTTCGAATTGAAATTAAAAATTAGTTTCATGTTAATATCATTGCTTCTGCAAACTTTAAAGGAAATAAACACTTTAAAGGAAATGAAATGACAGTGTTTTACATTTAAATTCTGTCGTTTTATCAAAACTACATTCTTCCTCTTAGCTCTTAGGGCAAAAATATTTAACATTATGAGTGGTTTTAAATTTAAGTTAATTTAGTGAGCAAAAAAATTAAAAGTGTTACAAAAGTTCACTTTTAAAACTCTTTTTTTTTTTAAAAAAAAAAAATCTTATAAGCGTTTGTCAACTATTTGTTAGATTTTGAATACCATATGCTGAGCTTAAAATCAATTGAAATAATCACTTTATTTTTGTTTGTACATGCTTTACAAAGTTTTTATATTTTTTACACATATTACTCACCTCTTTTATTATGTGAGACTCTTCTGCACATTATGTTTTACATTGAGATTTGGTTAAATTACATTTTCGTACATGAAAATATCGTATTGGTACTCATCATTAAAAAGCTTGCCATGCTCTAAAATATTATTTTTATTTATTAGATGGATCATCAACATCACAGTGAGTCAGAATCCGCAAGATATTTTAGTCAGTTTGATGCTCATGGATATTACAAAACAGATGCTGTATATTTGAATGCTGGTGCTCCTGGAACAGATTTATTACGTATGCTCCCTCCCATCATTGAGGCTGCTACCATTCACCAAATGGTTTGTATTTGCTACATTTATTTTTCAAGTGCTTCTCTATAAATGGTTAAGTGTATCAAGCTAAACTCAGAGGATTTTATGTTGAAAAAAATAAAGGAACTTCTCGATTACTATCTCCAATTTATTTTCATTCCAAAACTTAGAGTTTATGCAATCATTTCAAAAAATAACAACTTATTCATTTTATTTATTGATTGTTGTTGATATTCATAGTTCAATTCATATTTTGCAATCTGATTAATACATAAATGATGAAAATGGGTAAAAACTTGAATCTTGATCCCAGTAATAAAATGTCCTTAAAATATTGAACCTGTTCTACCTTGTAAAGACATTATTGACTGAGGGACCCTGTGACAAAACTCTCTAGCTCTAATATCTTTCTGCACGATATTTTTAATAATAAATTATGTAGGTTACTAGTTTAAAGTAACAAAAGCACTGAATTTACCAAAAAAAACTATATAATTTTTTTAATTGAATCTGTAATATTTTTTTATTCTGATATTATGAGCAATATTCCCTCATTTTGTTGGAGGGGGGGGGGCATTCATTATTTCCTTTTTATTAAAAGGACATTCATTATTTCCTTTTTCGCTTTTTATGAATCTTCATTACATTGCGAAAAAATCGTGAAATCCGTATACGTGACAACCAAACAAAAAAAAGATCGCTGATGAAATCTCACAAAATCTCTTCCGAAAGGAGTTACTCAAATACGTGTTCCGTTTCAAGAGTCAGTTGTAATAATATTGTGTTAAAAATATTGATCAAATTATTGTTCAAATTATTGGTGTAATTTAATTTGGATTATGTTTTTGGTATTTTTGAAAAGAACTAAGGGATATATTTTTTAAAAGAAATGAGTCTATTGACAGTTTTTGGCACAAGTTTCAGACTTATTGCTTAGACAGTTTTATCCACAGTTTAAATCAGCTAAAACTGCCAAATCTTGAATTGAGTAATGCATTAAATATGTTAGACCAAGCATGGAGAACACACAAAGCACAAAATTCTTTTTTAATAGTTTAATATTTTGTTTGATGCATTTAAATCTGATTTTTAGTCTTTATTTTATTAGTAATTGAATGCACAAAAATAAACTGTGTTTGAGAGTGCTGCATTAAAAAACATGGGATACCTTCCCTGAAATATGCATACTATTTTTTAAAAAAAAATATTTTAAAAAATTTTTAAATTCTGGAGTGCTAATCAAAATTAACACTTCACATTGCATTGTTTATTTCAGATAGTTCATAAAATATCTAATGAATTTATTATTTGTGGTTCCAGCTAGAAAATTAAATGCAAATGTTCTGCATTAATTTTATTTCAATATAAAATTATTTAAAGAGGTTTTTTAATAAATTTATATTGGATTTGTATTATATAAAATGAATATTTGTAGCAAGTAGAAATGGATGGAGATGCTCAGCTTTTTCAATATGGCTCAGAAAATGGCAACTGGCAGTTCAGGAGTTTCTTAGCTCAATTTTTATCCGAAGAATATGGGGATGATGTAAGAAGGTAATTTATATTTCAATTTTGTTTCAATTTATTTTTGAACAACTTTTTTTTTAAAGTTTCGCAGATCATTTAAAATATACTATACTTTATTTTTTACAATTTTATACTATCATATTCTTATTATTTGTCATAATCTCTTTGTTAGTGAAAATCTATTCCTAACGGCTGGAGCCTCTAGTGGATTATGGCTGATTCTTAACTGTCTTTTTAAACGTGGCTCCTTTGTTTTCATAGAAGACCCTTCGTATTTTTGTGCTTTAAAGATATTTAAAGACTTGGATATGAATATCATTCCAGGTATGAGTAAAGTAGTTTTATTCAAAACTGATGAAGCTATTTTGTCTTTGATAGTTTTAGATTAAGGGTCTTCAATCTTTTGTCCCAGAGGGCCATGAAAATAAATTCTAGAAATACCGCAAATCATACATCTTCTAGATAATATAGTCAAAGAAATGCATTGGCAACGACCTAGTGCTATACATTCTCATACCGGAACACATATTCTTTGCGTCAAGTTGCTGATCAAAGAGCAACATTAAATCAAGCTATTAACCTAGTATTTTGTCTCAGCATACAATGTAAAAAATATTTTAAACCAGCAAAACCCCTGCATTAGAATGTGTTTTATAGTTAAAATATAAGTTCATAACCTTTTGAAGAGCTTAAGTGAAACAAAATGTTATGAGACTTTTCAAAGCACTGAAATTTTTGAATTCAAGAACATAGTATATTATAAAATATTGCTTCATTCTTCTAGGTCCTTAATAAGGTATTTTTCTTTGAAAAAAAGGAATTTGTATTAAACTACTTGATGCTTCTATACGTTCTAAAATAGATTTTTGGAAATTAAATAGCGCATTTCTTAATATGTTTGTTTCTTTTTACATTTTAAATTATTAACTGTGCATAAGTAGAATATTTATGGGACTGAATAATGAAAGGGTTGTCCCAGAGGCTTAGAATATTAATCACTATAAATAGAATTTTTTTTATCTTAATTATATATTCTTTTATTAAATAGTATTTTTTAGATCAAGGCTAAATATCACTTAAATTTTTTTTTAAATTAAAATTTTTTTTTGTATATTTTTTATGCAATATTTTAAGACTTGCTTTTTTAATATTTTTGTTAATAATAATTACCCTTTATCACCATAATTATTTTTAAATTTTTTATTTTCATAGTTAAAACAGACAATAATGGAATAGTAATAGAAGATTTACTTGAAAAATTGCAACAGCATTTAAAAGAAGTAACAACTTCAAAAAATCCACCGTTACAAGCTTTGCTTTATACCATACCAGTATTTCATAATCCCACTGGATGTGTGCTACCTGAAGGTATGTAATTTCACCCTCCCTTGCTATGTAGCGTTTTTTATTTGTCAATTAGATAATGTGCTAGGATTTTTTTCTCTGCTACAGAATTTAAATAATTCCATAAAATATAGCTAGTGTAAACATGCTCTGAATCACTATACTTTTGAGTTTTTAGCATTCACTGGACTGCAGACTTTTTAAATAATCCAGTTCATAGTTTCCTCATGATATCGCAATTCTTTGTTCGCTAAAAATTTTATTTTTCAATTTGTTAAAAAAAAATTCTCTTTTATTTCAGAATTTTAGGGATTATTCATACTCACTGGTTTGCCTAAATAATTCCAATCAGATTCTCAATTTCTCTTTGCATATTTCAAATAAACTTTAATTTCAATAAATATGTAACAAAAAAAAACAATTTGCCCTTTGTCATGCAATATTTTCCATTAAGAATAAAATTTTGTTGTTAATGTATTTCAATTAACATTAAATCAGTTGTTTAGATTAAAAAAAAAAGGTGGATATCTCCACTCTCTGAAGTTTTAACTAGTTGCAAGATTTAAAGTATTTGCATACAGCACAGTTTAAACAATTTGTAGCCTACTTTATTAGTTCCTTTTTGCACAACTTGTTCATTGAATTCTTTGCTTTACAACTGTAAAAATAATTTCATTGACTAATTTAATTAAAGCTACTTTTCTTCTGTTTTCAAGTAAAGTTATTTTTAAATATATAGTCTTAATTTCTTAATATCTTGTTATGCATTTAGAACAATCTGTTACAACTATTTATGCTATTTTTATAGATGTTTATTGTGAAAAATGCAATCCAATTTTTTATTTATTTAAACCTGATATAAAGGTTAAGCTTTTGGGCCTTTTTTAATATAAAATCCTGCTAAATATGACTCAAAATTTCTTAGAATCAGCATGCTGTGGAATAAAAAGTAGCAGAATACTTTTTTTTGCATTTATGAACTTTGCATAGTAATAGTCAGTAATAATTTTAATTGAGTACTCTCTAAAAATAAGTAAAATGATCAGAAATATACTTTTTAATGCACAGACAATTATGCAAGCTAAAAATATTTTAAGAATCTGCACAGATTTGATGTTTAGGGAAAAAATATTTATAAAAACAATTCAGATTTTTGGCTTAAAAATAAAAACAGTTTAAATTTTAATCAACTAAAGGGTGCCAGCTAATATTTTTCATGTGCTATGGTGCTTACCAGGATTTGTAAACCTGGTATTCTGGGTAGTTCTCAAATCTGGGGTTCTAATGAAACATGCCAAAAAATACAAATTCACATGGAAACATGAGCTTGCAATTGTGTGATATGCAAAGACAATAAGGAAAAATCCTTTTATATCATTTTAATTTTACTAAATTTCCAGATGAGTTACGCATATGTGATCAATACTACTACAGAAAATGCTCAAAGATGTGGTATAATGTCTGGAAGCATGCATTACATTGACTTTGCATGGGATGGCACAAACATAAAAGATGCATCTTGAAAATATTTTACTGCGACAAAACATTTTCCTAGTGTGTACAACTGTGTAACAAATATTTTGTTGCACAGTTGCTTTAAATGATTTCTGTCCTAGTGTTGGTTTTAACTGTGTAACATATGGGGAAATACGTAATGAAAATAAAACGATGTACAGGGATTTTGGTTTATTGTCTTTGTACACAATTTCTTTATTAATTTACAACACCTTCCAGTAATTAATAGCTTCTTGTTATATTTATTTTTCATATTTATTTTCAAACGTTATTTATTATTATTTTTTTTTTTATTTTTCTGATTTTTCCTTTCATTGAAGCCAAATTATAATTTTTGGAACAAAAAAAGTTTATATATGCTCTAAAAATTTTAGTTTTTTTTCTTCCCTTTTTAGTTTTCCACTTGTGAATTAACTACCATTCTTTCATTTAAAATAAACTAGCTTTTCTATTAGAGTTCCTTTTCTAGTTTTTCTATATTTATTTTGTCAAAGTTATATTATCTGTAATTGAAAAAGTACTACATCAATTTTAAATACGCTCTAATAGTTTAACATATTTGCTTTATTAGAAAGATGTCAACAGCTGATTAAGTTGTCACGAATGTATGGAATTACTATAGTTTGTGATGATGTCTACAACCTCCTTCATTATGGGGATGATCCCACTTGTCCAAAACGGCTTTATCAATTTGATGATAAGTAGGCATCTTTTTTGATAATAATTGATCTAAAAGTGTATTTCATACTATATGCCCTACTATTGCTGGAAATTTGAAATATTATGCATTGGTATATTATTTTACAGCAGTTTAATGTTGACTTGTAATTTCTTAAAAAAAAGTCCATTTTATTTCTTCCATAGATCTGATTCTGATTACATTGGTAATGTAATATCGAATTGTTCATTTTCAAAAATCTTAGCACCAGGACTGAGAATTGGATGGATGGAAGCTCCTGAATGGATTGTTGAAAAGTGCAAAGATTTGTAAATTACTGTTATTATTTTCTACTCCAATTTAATATTTTGCTTTCAATATTTTACGTTATTTTTTTAATGAAAATTTTTTAACTCTTCAATTTTAAGCATAAAAAATCAATGAAGTTGTTCTCATGCATTAACATATAATAAATGTTTGCATGTCTGTTTAAGCCATAGTTTATTAGAATTGTGAGTTCTTCATAGAAAGAATCCCTGAGGATATTCTTTATTATTATTATTATTATTAGAGTATTAGAGATTATTAAAAAAAAGTCTGGGATTAGATCTCTAAGAAACAGAGGCTCCCTTTTTTGCCAGGAAATGGGGCCTCATTTCTCTGGATTCCACAGTGATTCTTCTGGATTCCTTTGGAATAATATTGTCTTATTATTAATTGCAAACTAGTTAAGAAAATTTAAGCAATTAGTGATAGTTAGAATTCTAGAGTGACTGGGTGCAACAATCGCTTGAAGTGGGACCTATGAATCAGACAATGACATAACTTTGTAAAAGGAATCTAGGCGTCTCCAAAGTTGTGTCAGGGCCTGGTAAATGACCTCAATCTCACCAATCGATCTCAGCTAATCAATAAGTATCGATGGGAGTATAAAGGCAAAAGAGCTCACAGTAAACACCAGCACTGGCTTTAACATAATCACTCACTTTGATACCATCAGTATAAATTTTTAACCATTCCTCCTTAGGGAAAAAGGTTTCTATTGTTTTGAGAGTGAAAGCTCTTGAAACTGTATCACTAGTCTCAACCTTTGAGATATCCATGAACAGATCAAGGCGGGTAGAAAATCCTTTGTCGGCAATGATTGAGGAGAAGAGAGAAGTGTTCAGCCTCAAAATTCAAATCCAACTTAGATATAATATGAGCTACTCCCTGCAGAATTCATTTGGTGTTTTCAGGTTTCTCTATCCAACTAAAGAATCTAGATTCCACAGGGACAAAAATACAAGAGTTCTAAGCATTCTCTCCCTAAGGAAAAGGGCTTTCTCCTGAATAATCAGGTAAAAGCCCTGTGCTGAGCCCCTGTAATCAATTGCAGTGCGTGATTTAGAAATTTTTTTAGAAGGTTAAGAACCTGTGATAAGCAATTTCCAACAGCAATCAAGAGGGAGTAAAATACACATTTTGTAAGTAGAATTCAAAGTCGCTCTTGAGCGTCATTTGGAGCCTCTAGTATTTTTAAAAGATTAAGTCTTTTTGGAGCACCTCGAATAGTGTTTTCCATGTGAGATCTCCATGTATGTTTATGATCCAAAACCACACCCAAGAATTTTAAGTTATCAGACGATGATATCTGACAACCTTTGTAGCAAATTCGTGGATGAAAAGATTGGTGCATTAGAGAAAAAGACTCTACAAATGTCTTGTCGATGTTGAACTTTATATTATTTAATTCTGTAATTCTGTCCATTTTTTAGTAACCAACATGACCTTTCCCAAAGAACTTTCAATGATCTCGTTAGCTTTGTTCTTTGGGAAAGTAGTTCAGATAACAAGGTCTTCAACATATAGCAAGCACCGAATGCCATCAATCTTTTTCAGTTCAGTTACTAGGTCACTAATATAAGTGTTAAAAGATATGCAACTTAAGATTGCACCCTGTGGTTAGCTGGTCTTGAGTGTTCTGTATCTTGAAAAGTAATTGCTATATTAGACTATACATAATCGGGTTTTTAGAAATCCATTGAACCATCCAAGCATGTTGGAGTGGGTGCTGATGTTTGATAATATTTTGCAAGTAGGCTTTCTCTTCATATAATTATTATTATTATCATTATAATTTTTTAAATTAATTTTATTTAGATTTTTTTGGACTTATTGCCTACATTGAAAAACATTTATTTATTAAATAATGGGATTATTTCTAACTTAAAAAAGAAGAAGAAAGCATTTACAAGATCTTGGAATAACTATTTAAGTTAAATAATTTTCAATGAAATCGGTCGTTGAAATGAATAAATTTTTAAAGTGATAAATAAAAAAAATTTATCTTTGATCATTTGATTTTCAGTGGTGTTTTGCACAGTGGTGGAGGTTTGAATCCTTATACAGCAGGCATTGTAACTAGTTTATTAGCATTAGGAAAGCTGAAACCCCATTTACAAAAAGTGAAAAATATTTACAAAGTAAGTATTATTCAGTTTATGTATCATTTAGTAGGGACACAGCACATTAAAATAAGGATATTAAATGGTTATCAATTTTATTTTTCTGAATTAAATGAGATATGATCTATATCAATGGTGTATAGATTTTTGAGAAGTGGCTATGTTTGAAATAAAAAAAATTCAGTATACTTTCTATGTTAAATTATATTTACTTCATGCCGCCAAGTTATTGTAATGGGTTTATTGTATTGCATTGTTTAACTTATAAGTTGGTTTTTTTTAAATTTTTATATAATATTGTGCCCGTTAGGTATTTAAAGTTAATAAATACGTTAATATACTATACAACATCTGTAGGCAGGATTGATTTTGAATAATTTTCAAAAGGTGTATTTCTATTCCAGAAATTACATTGAATCCATTGAAATTGTAATCATATTTTTTTCTTATGTGAAAGTTTTCTGTTAATTTAAATTCATGAAGAATACACATTTTAGGTGGTTGTATTAGTTTTTTAAGAGATATACAAAAAGTAATTCATTAGTATGTGTAGTATAACAAAAGACTACAAATATTTAAAAAAAATATATATTTAGTTTCACTCTATGAACATTTTATATTGTAATCTATAATACAAAAGTTTTTAACAGTTTTTCTTATATTTTGTGGAATTTTTATTTAGACCAATATGGAGTCAGCTGCAGAACTTTTAAAAGAAGAATTACCTTTTGGTTCTACATTAAAGTCCTCTGCTTTGGTACTTTTAAGTTTTTTAATATCTTTTTCATAATAATTAAAGTCATAAAATTTATTTGAGGGCATTACTTCTTTGCATTTTAATATTCATGGCTCATTGAGTAAATACTTCATATTCATTAACACTAATATTTCATTTAAAAATTTATCATGTAAGGAATATGATTTGTGTCAAAAGTTGTTAAATAATTGTGTCTTATTTTTTTCAACAGTAAGTTATGTATTCATTTTTTTATATACTTTAATGTAAATATAAAGTTAAATTCTTATTTGATTACTATTTGTGTTTTAGTTGTCACTTTTTTCTTCTACAATTCAGATGAAAACTAACTCTAAACTAAAAAACTACTTTAATGGAAAGCAAAAAATCTAGGTTTTCATTCTAACTACATTTGCAAATAATATAAAATGTTGCAAAACCCACAAGCATGGTTACTATTCATAGATAATCAAGCATTGATAGACAAAACTTACATCTTTGTTTTGTGTCTTATGCTGGAAAATATTAATCTTCTATCCATTTATGAACCTACTTCAAAATATTAAACTTCTATTCATTATTACTTTCTTCCTTATCATGAAGTAAAATATCTGTTTTGAATGTAAAATATGTTAACTCTAAATCATAATCTGTTTTCTATTAATATAAGTTAGCTATCCTAAATTAGATTCGTTCATCTTAGAATTATAAGTTTTTTTTAAGGCTTATTTTTATCAAAGCAGGAGTAAGAAATTATTATTTTTTATAGGGAGGCTATTTTTTATGGATTGAATTGCCAGCTGACATCAGTGCAAGTAATTTACTAAATTTTTGTAAGAAAAAATATCAAGTATGCTATATGCCTGGGTCAAGGTAAGGAAAAAATATGTAATACATTGTTAAGCCATGATGATAATATGTCGAAAACTTTTTGCCTTTATTTTATGGAGAAAATGAACAAAAATCAAACATATTCTTTTATTTGTGAAGTTACATTGAAAAGTTCTTTACAATGGTGCCATTCTAAACGATGCTCTTCAAGAGCTCAAAATTTTTAAGCGTATCTAAATTTTAACATGACAACATTTCAAACTGAAAAAAGAGTAAACAAAATCTCATTTAGCTTTACTTTTTTTTAAATGTCTGCTTTTAATACAAAATAAACACATTTGGCAAACTTTGTAAGACATAATTATTTAGAATCAGATTGAAACACAGCTAGGATAAATCAAAAAAATTGTGTGAAATAGTGTTTGCTTTGAGAAAGACTAGAGTGATTTAGAATTGCTATCATATCAGTGAACTCACTTTAAAGTCTCTGTAGTCTTGAACCTGCTTCTTAAAACAAGAAAACATGTAATTTTAGGATTGTAGACAAACTCTATTTAATAAAGTTTTTTTGAATTGAAAATGTTTTTATAAATATTATTTTATTTTATAACCATCAGTGAAGAGCTGATCCTATTTTGAGTTTTTGACATTGATTTTCAACTCCATTCCCTTATAGATTTGAACCCAATTCAGAAGACAAGGGAACTCTTTGATTAAGTATAACTTTGCCTTCATGGGGGACTTTTTGACGCAACTATTGCTCATTCGCGTAACGTAGAGAGGAAAACCTCATACAGTTAGCCTGACATGATCTGGCTGCCACTGAGGATGTTTTACGTCAGCTCTTTGGCCTATGTGAGCCGGGTGCCGAATTTTTTAGCCATTGCTGGGATTCAAATCAGAGTCACCTCATTGAGAGGTGCACACTCTATGCCCTGATTTTCTCATGTTCAACGTAGAGGAAACTGAAATCCATCATCTAGTTTTGGCTGAACATATTCTATCTAATGCCAGCCTATTTAAAATTTTAAAAATTAGCCTTTTTTTCTTACTTTTCAATAATTTTTGTAGATTATAATTTTGTCTTTTTTGTTTTGTTTTGATCTGACAATCTGTAATAAATAATCATCCAAATTTTTCAGTGTAGAACAAGATTAAATTCCCATCTTTTTACATGTATTTTCTCGGAATTTCATTTTTTTTGTTCCGATTCATCCATGAATATCAAAATTCATGCAAGGAAGTTTAGCTTTTAAAGAGCTAAATCACATTAAGTTTTTAAATTCTCAAATAGATTTAAAAAAAACTATAATATGCTTTCTTCTTTTCAAATAATGTATAAATTATTTTCAGAGCCTCTTTTACCCAAAGCTTTGAAAATCACCTGAGAATATGCATTAGTTTTTATCCTCTTGAGGTATTATTATCTGCTGTTCGAAGACTTTGCCGAGCAATTGAAGAGTTTCAGTCCAGGTTCAAAGATGATCCAAATTTTTGGAAGAGTTATGTTGATTAATGTTTATTTGAATCATTTCTAACTAAACTTAGATATTTTAAAGAATTTTTGTTAAGTTTTCAATTAAATAGTTTTTAATATAAATAATGTTGTAGTGAATAATTTGTTGTTAATATATGTATTTTTAAATTGATAATTTTTGCATTTGTACAAATTTACACTTTTCATTAATGTGCTACTTCAAATTCAATTTAAATGTGATAGTCTTTAAGTCTTAAAAGTAAATTTATCATAGTAGCTTTCAAACAATATATTGTGATATTTTTACAATGTCTATAACAGTTTTAAAATATTTACACTTATATTAGAACTAGGCAATGTCAATTCGAATTTTCTTATTCTCTATTTTATCTATAAAAAATAAAATTATATCATATATAATTGTATTATAATCATACCCTCCAACTTATGAGGATTTTGAAAATAATTCTTTCTAGTGGTAGCGAACCAAAGTAGAAATTTTTAAAGCAAATGGATCTCTCATAAAACTTTTATCAGAACTTAAGAATCTAGCCATATGGCCTGCACTTTTATAAGTAATAGTGGACAAGTTACGCTCAAATTAAATTTTTTTAAATATTAAGACATTAATTTTGCTACCGTCTGAAAAGAAGATTTCTGAAACTACGGAAATTCCGTAGCAGTTGGAGGGTATGTATAATTATAATATAGTTATTAATAAAGTTAATAATTATATTAATTAACAATCATTGTATTAATTAGCCATATTGATAACCATATTAATTAACAACATTAATTAGCTATATTAATAACGATATTAACTAATATCCAAATTAATTAACTATATATAAAATTGATAATGATGCTTATCTATAAGCATTGCTACAAGGTTCTTATGAGACCAATCAGATTACCTTGCATTATTTAAAAAAAAAGTGTTGCCAAAGAGGAGAAGTATTTAATAAATTTTCGTTAATGCAGTGTAATCGATTGTTGTTGTTGATTTCTTAGTGTTGAGTGTTGTTGATTTCTAATCAACGAGCAAGTTCTGCACCATAGAACTAGTGGCATGCAATCAGAATTTCTTCAACATTTAAATTCTAAACATTCAGTTTACAGTAGATTTTTTGAACAATCCAATTCAGTGTTTCCACATAATTCTTTATTTAGTAAAAATAATAATTCTAAGAATTAAAACAGTTCTGTAAAAAACTTTATAAAAAGTTATGATTGATAATACAATGTGGAAAGTATCTAAAATTTGTTACTAAAACATTTTAACTTAAACTGTTTTCTTTAAGTAAAAAGAGAAGAGAGATGGAAAATCTCCCCTTTCTGACTCTTAAAAGAATTGAACTTTTTCCACACTTTATGTATGTTAGCAGTTTTCTTAAATCAGAGTCTACATCACTCTCGAAACTTACGTTGTTTTGAAAAGAAAAAAAACTCTTTGCTACAGACTATTTTGTAAATAGAATAAAATAAATTCTATTTTTAATTTTACAAATCAAGCACAGATCCTATCCCCATTTCCTTTGATCCAGCTTTGTTAATCTTTTTGTGGTATGTTTTGCATTTCAATGTTTGTTAATATTTATGCATACATTGAGAAAGAAAGTTTTCCCATTTTATGTTTATTGGAAGTAGATTCCTCTGATATTCACTAGCACTCAATAAAAAGGAATTTTATGTAACTCCGGAATTAAATGGGAGCCATTTCTAGATTTATCCAAAACCATCATATTCTTTTTTACATTTCTTTTAAACTACTGAATAAAGGTTCATAAACTGCATATGAGAATATTGGACTGTTAAAACTCTATGAAGTATTTTTTAATCATACAAATGATATATTTATTGTTTTAATTCTCTCTTGCTGCTTTTTAAATTAACTTATATCCATCAAAATTGGAAATTTTTATTAAATTTGCTCAAAAGTCTTCCAAACAAACCAAAGTTTGGGATTTTGATTGGAAGAAACCTGTTTCTTCCAGGACACTGGTGGAAATTGGAAATAACTGGACAAAATAGAAGGAACTAAAAATTACCAAGACACTTATTTACCAATAAGTGTTAAGAGAATAATTTTGATTTAAATAAACTAAATGTAATCTATAGCAAAGCTTTAATTTATTCATATCTACTTTTAAAAAAATAACTATTTTTTAAAATTATTTTATATTGAATTACAAAATCTATATTTCATATTATTTAAGGGTTTGTTGAGTATTCATACTTAACAGAATTTTATTATTAAAATTAGTATGCTATTTGTACATAAGAAATCAACATGTGCTTTGTATTTTGTTGTGTATATGTGTAGATAAGTATTTGTTAATATAGAAAAATGATAATTATATTTTTAAAAAAATTATTTTATTTTAGCAGTTTTTTTTTAAATATAATTATAGACTTAGATTTTACAATACTTTTTATGTAAAATATGGAATGAAACAACAGTTTTTATTTTTTTAAGAATTAAATTTTTATAATCTATGTTGCTTTTTAATTTTCATTTATTTAAAAATGGTGTAATAACTTAAAAACGAATAACATTATTTTTGTCTACATAAAATTAATCTAATTTTACTAATAACTTAAATTAGATTCAGATTATTAACTGTTTTTTATTCTTTTTTCTTTTTGAATAAAGTTTTTTTCAGTTGGTTTAGAAGCTACCTATTTTAGGACAGTTTCTCAAAGTTTTTTTTCACTGTGGAAGAAACTTGCTATCTTAGAAACAAATGATTTTTTAGCACAAAAAAATCAATTAAGTTGTTTAAAAAAAATTTAGAATTTTTGAAATTGATTTTTATTTTAGTTTTTATTGTTGCTAAATTACTTTGACAGCATTTTAAAAAAAATCTTTATATTTAATTTGAATACTATCTGGAATAATTTTAATGCTTTAAAAATCTAACAAACCCTCCTTCTAATCCTTTTGTAAGATTGAAACTGGCGTATTTGTTTTTTCATTGCTGTTTCAACTCTTTTTAAGTGACATTGTTATTTCAACTATTATGAATTATTTCTGAGAATAATTATAGCTTAAAAAGTAAGTAACTAATTATAAACATTAAAGGAAGATATTAATGTACAACCAATACCGACTTTAAACTACTTTATTCATTCATTTTTATTTTGTTTTGAGCTGGATTTATTTTGATAAATATTTTTAATATACAGGAACATAACTTTTTTAAATAATTTTGAATACTTTAGGATTGGTACTAGCCATCTATATATTGGCATAACCATGTTATTTAGTGTAAAATATTACTCCCAGAAATTTGATATTTTTTTAAATAATAAGCATCATTGTACCAATCTATCTTTAAATTTTATAAATTTGTAAAAAGTTATTGTAGCCAATGCTCTGTTACATAATCCTTAACAAATTATATAAATAAATTAAAACTATACTGATTCTAAAATTTTTTTAATTTGTAATAGTGATGGCAAGTTTCTTCCTAAGTGCAAATAACCACTAAAAACAAAACCACCCTAAAAGATAGAAGATTTTTTCTAACCCAATCTAATTTCTGAGTGGAAGAAACTCTTTTTCAATAAAAAGTATAAAATATTAGAACAATTCTTAAACTGTTAATAATTGTATACATAACATCTGCTTTAAATGATGCTATTAATTTTCAAGCTATTTAATACATAATTTTTAAATATGGGAAAACTAAAAAGCAACAATTGGAAAGAAATATAAATTAAAGTAATTGAAATAACTGTGTTTCTTCAAAGCAATTTATTATTTTATGCAAGTTATTATAGTAAAACACGTTTTTAATTATAAAAATTTTTTTTAAACATCTTAATCAAATTTTATTAATACTACTAAATTACCAAATAACATATGCAATCCACAATTACTAGTAGCATAATAATTTTTTTAATCAAATACTGTTAAGAATGAATACTCAAACGGATTCTTAAATATGATGAATGGTTTTTAAAATTCTGTATAAAACTAAAATACAGTGAAGCTTCTCAACAGCGACCACTCTCCGTTCCATAGTAAAATAGTCTTTGATAGAGGTTTGTCATTTTTACAAGTTACTTCCATAGACTTCATAATTGTTATTGAAGGTACATGAGTTTTCGCAAACCATATCATTTATAGTCAGTGTCATTTTCTTGTTGTGGAAATGCCACTTCTGTTGGCGTCATGAAAAGACGGATCGATGAATAAAATTCAGCTTCTATAAAAATGATACCAACTGTTATAATTATGTGTAAAAATAAATTTGCCATTTATGAATGATAGAACTATTTTAAATAAATAAATACTTATGTTTTCTGTGCAGTTTGCATCTGATTTTATATCATTTGTTTGAGGTGCTTGGCTTTTTCTAAAATAAGTTATTTTTCTAATTTAATTTTCAAATCAAAAAATAAATTATTGATAACATTGTCTTCAAAGCACTTAAACATGAGATTGTTATGGTCAAAAAGAGCTTTCGAATACATTTTAACCTACTTATTTTTTTTTTGTTAAACTTTTTTTAAAAATATTATTTCATGTTTCCTTATTTGGTGTTGAGTTCTGCCCCGTCGGGAGAGGTTTTGATGGTCTCTCCTTAAGGGTTTCTTCAACACAATGTTTATGGAAAAAATTCTGTGCCTTCCAAAAGTGGCCGTAAATAAAGGGTCTTCCTGGAGGTTCCTCTGTAGTCATTTTTTTTAAAAAGAGAGTTGATTGGAAAAAGTTTTACCTTTCTAGTATTATATAAAATTTTATTTGTTTAAAATTCAAGCCACTTATATTTTTTATATGCCATTTCTTCCAAATTATCTAGTTTCCTGAAACTAATAGGTTTCATCCAGTCAAAATGCCAACCCCGATTTGTAAGAATTGAAAACTTTATAAATGTATTTTCGGATGCACCTGTCAGTTTTTATTTTACATATCATTTTAAGTCCTAATTGTTGTACCTATTTTGTTGATATTCTTGTTAGTTATGAATAAATATTTCTTTATGTCTTTTAGAAATCAATTTGTACTGTGTTATGAATTCTAATATAAATAAGTTTTTAGCATAAAAAATAAAACTTGAAATCTTTCAAATTTTTTAACTATTTTGTGAAATAATAAATCAGATTCCAAATTATCAGCTCCTTATTCCCATATAAAAACTGTTTCAAATTATTAATAACAGTTCAAATCATTAAATAATTTTACCTTACTATGGTGACAATTTTGAAATTAATTTAAAATTAGCAACTGTAGTGGAAATTGTTTGAGCTAGTAAAACTGATCTCTAGTTTTGATATACATATTGTTTCACTAAAATTTTTTTTAATTAGATTTGGATTAAGTGGGATTGTAAATTCTGTAGCTCAGTTAAACTAAAGCAGAATTGAATCTGTTACCATAATAGTTTTGTTAAAATCAGTTGGGTCAATAAATTTTACTATTAGAAATTAAATATACATATTATTATACCCTTGGACGAAGCTGGTTATTATAAAATGAAATTTATTACTTTATAACCTGATTACTTATTAATGTAAAAAGCTATTCTCAAATATCACCTTGCAAATAATCATATCTTTTGCATATTAATTATTTTAAATGCATGGTCATAGTGTTAGGTTTTTAAAAACTTATTAAGTATTAGTAATACCTGACTTAATAAAATAAAAAAATTATAAATACATAGTTAAGTATTAATTTTTTAACCTTTTCTATTAAAACAAAATCGAATATACTAAATTTTAATAATTTTGTGCTTAAATGTTTATCATTTTTTGTTAATTAAGGATCACGCTTTGTGATTTGTTTGCCCAATAAAAGTAGTCAGCACGAATAACTTAATATTCTAAGATAGCAATAACCATTTATATTTATAGATAAGAAAACTATTATAATTGAGTTTTTTAACAGCATTCTAACGGCTTATTTAATTTTATAACTGTTTTTTGATGAACAAAATTTGCAAGCTTATTTTAGCCATTTAAACCTTAGCATTTATAGTAAATATAAAGTTTTCCTTTAAAATGCTTTAACGTAACTTCTGCCTTAAAATATAAGATTAAAATACATTTATCAATACAGAATTTTTTTAAAAACTCTTTAAATTTTTTTTCTTTAAAAACTTCTTTTTGAAAAATATGGGTGAATTTATATTTAATTATATTTTATAATCATTAAAACTTCATGAAGAAACTGCTTACATTTTTTAAAAAACTTATTCTCTTCTTAAAAATATGCTATACAAAATAATTTTAAATGCATTTTAATTAAATAATTTTATTTTTCACAATTTCGTGCATGTATTCTCTAGTTTCCATATTTTCTATAAATCAATCATTATGCTCATATTTTTACTAATTTTTAACAATACTAAGTTATAACTAATTTAGCCTTAAAAATAATTGATTGGCTAGTAATATTATACAATAGGTTAATAAATTTCCAATTGTTTGAAATTTGGGGTGAGCTTTATGCTAAATACAAGAATTTTTTTTTTTTTAAATAAAATTACATATTGTAATTTATTTTTATAGACAGTGTTTAAATATTAATTTTGCCTATAATTATCTTACTTATATTTTTTTTCTTGCTCAAAAACTGATATTTTCTAGTAATGAATTCATAATTGAATATCTTAAAAAAATATTCATTAGAGATTCTGGAACTTGTTAGAACTTCTTAGTTAGAGAACATGTTATGATGAAAAATCATTATAGAACATAAATTTAAGATTTTTTTTAGATAAAGTAGTTTCAATCTGGGAGAAACTGAAATATAACACAAATCTGCAAAAATTCAAAGATTTTATAAGAATTAGAAAGTAAAATTTTAAAAATAAATGAAAGTATGTTGGTGGGAAATAATATCGAGCAAGAGTTTTGTAGATATCACAGGCAGTACATGCAAATATTATCAAAAGAATGGATAACAAACTACACTGATAAATAAAAAATAAGAGAATGTTTTTTTTTTTTAATAAGCACATTCATAAACAACTTTATTTTAATACAAATATTTACAAAATTAAAGAAAATGGTCAAAATATCCTTCACAGTTTTATACAACTAATAATCGTCTTCATCTTCATCAGTGCGACTGTTCTGCTGTTGAAGCTGTAACTGTTGTTGTGCTGCTTGTTGCATTTGTAACCATTCTTGTTGTTCTAAAGCTGCTTGTTCTTGTCGAGCCTTAAAAAAAAGTGGAACAACATGTAACAAGGAAGTTTATTGTTACAAGATACGGTTAGAAAATGATTTTAAATACAAGATTATTTATATGATGATTGGTTATTCACTTTTTTTCTTGTTCTATTTTAATTATTAAAAATAAAATAATATATACAGGTAAAAGTTATTTTACAACATAAAATTATTAAACTGTCTTAAGTAGATATAATTAATGTAAGGGAAAATTAAATACACGTCTATGCTATTTCTGTTATGAAATGCCAAAATCTAAAGTGTTATTTTCTTCGAAATTTTCTTTTTCTTAACTATACTAATCACTAGGTTATAGATACTTTCTTAAAATTAAAAAAATACTTCAGCATAAAGTATGAACAATTTTTAATAAATCTCAATGAATGCAAGTTTTAAATTCTGTAAATATAGTTTTCATTAGCTAATAACAGTTGTGAAAATAGCTAATTAAATATAAACATTTAAACCAAATAAGAAAAATAAAAGAAATATAGTGTGAGGACAAATATTATCAGCATATTAACAAAGGAAATTGTTTTGTTTTTTTTCCAATTTAGGCATGAAATAACAAGAAAATAAGTGAAAGGTGAAATAAAAATATTAAAAGGCTATCTTAGAAAAATGACTAAGACTATTTTTGTATACCGCAGTAGCTAATAATATATTTTTTTAAAAATTTAAGTGCTGTTTCATGGAATTATAATCAAATTCAATACTAAACATTAATAATTTACAGCAAGTTATTTAGATTTCTAAAACAGGATTAACATTACCCTAGGAGATTAGCGTGTCAGAAAATACAACATTTGAGAAATGTTCAAGCCACATTTCCATTTACAATAAATAAATTATTCGAATAAACCACATTGAAAATCTAAAATTAGCAGCACTTAATCTTTAGTCACTACTTTTTTAATAGATCTAAATAAGGATATGCAAATTAGGTTTGTTTTTATATATTTTCAAAAGTGCATGAAAAGAAACTTTTTCAACATCCTAGGAAATAAAATAACATTGAAGAATAATAATAAAAAAATTGGGGAAAAAAAAAGAGAAATGGTGAATCTAAGCGTGAATCATATGCTTGCAAATTCTCATTACACAAAGCGAAGCTACCGTTACGCCTATGGATTATGAAAGATCAGTTCACTTAGCTATTCTGTTGACGAAGGCTTAAGAGTCTGTGGTATCTTCTACACGTGTATAAAAAGCAAAAATTTTTACCAAAATAAATAAAAAAAATTTAAGATTCAACTAAGACTAATAAAAAAATTTTTTTTTTTTTAAATCTCTGAAGCTTCACTTGTAAAGAGAACTGCTTCTTTAAGATCAAGATTGACAAGTTACTGCTACTAAATAAATACAAAATTGCAGAAGAAATAAGTATCTTTGTTAAGAAAAAGATTTTTTCCTTCAAAATAAATTTTGAGCAAGTACATTTATTTGGAGTCAATTTATAGATTGAATACAAAAAATAAAAAAATACATATACAAAAATAAAAAAAATATACAAAAAATAAAAAAATTATAATAAAACTTTTTGATTATACTCTTATTTTTAAATTAAGATTTGCTCTGAGAAATTAAACACAAAAAAATATTCTGTTTACATAGTGGAAGAGATTTGAAGTGAGCTTCACTAAACTCATTTTTCAGAAAACATCCAAACATAGATATCTATAATATGGATATCTGTCATAAATATTTGAGACTTGCCTGAAAATTAAATTGACTGTGCAAATAAGGAGAGGAAAAAGAGAAATCCATTATATTTGTAAAGACCTAAATGTTACTAAATTTAATTATCCTAATAAACAATCACACTATGCGAAAAGTTCCATCTATGCTTATTCATGCTTGATACTTCTTTGCTAATACATAATGGTTCTGATTTTTCTTATAAAACTGCAGCCATAGATTCATTGTGATTGAATTTTTTTTTAAAGATTGCATATAATAGGTAACAATCAAAACCATTCATATGTTTCCATTAATATTTGAAGAAAAAAAAATTGGGGTTTTTATAAACTTAATTCAGGCATTATTTTATACATGAATTTTGAAATTTTCTGGGGCAAAATTTGAAATACAAATATTAAAACTAAATATCTGAGAATATTATAAAATAATCATAGAAGCCGTATGTCCTGGTGCATAAGTCGAGCCCCCTCTTTTTATTTTACAAATTTCTAATATATTGAAAGTGAAAGTCAACTGTTGAAAAAATCAAATAAAAACATTTCTAAAAAATAATAATAATAAGTCTACAAAATTTTCGCAAGTTAAAAATATTTCACATTTTTCTATCTGAACATGAGACATTTTCCTCCAAATAAAAACATAAACAAATGCCATGGGGCAACCAGTTAATTAGGTTTATCTCACCTTTATTGCTATTGTAAAATATTTTAAAAAGTATGGAAATTCAAATTCTTTGGATAGGGGTGAAAAACATTTTTCGTGGATCTCAGCAGATGAGGTTGAAGTAGATTTCATTGCAGAGTTAAGATCCATAATACAACACTGCTAACATTATTAAATCTGACACAAGTGATGTTCTGGAATCTTAAAATTTATAGCTTTATTGTATATTTTAAAAGTTTTCGTAATGATATTTTTAGAAATGCTCAAATTGAATCCTTTTTGAAATCCTATCTTCCTTTTCTTTCATTTTTTTCTGCACATAATGCATTTTTTTTCTTCAAAATATCCATATACAGGAAGAAAATATTATGAGGGAAAAGGTAAAATTAACTGTATATGCAATAAAATAGTTTTTAAAAGGAGTAAATTTATACTGAGTTATTCATATCTATCTCAATGTATATAATGCATCGATATTTTATAATCAACGAATGTCTGGCTTTATCACTGCGTTTAAGTTGATGCCATATTTTCATAAAACTTTTGGATTTGAAAAGTCGACTTGTACACCAGGATACAGCATTTTAATTCAATACTATGATTATTAAATTACTTGATCAGCTTATTTAAAAACTAGAGAAATTTGTTTGAAAAAGTTTTGAAAAACTTAGGAATGTATAAGATTTTTTTTTAACAAAAAGATACAGATTTAAGATATTTATGGTTTCTTACATCTATCTCAGATACAATACATAACATAGGACAAATATAAACACAATGATTAAATTATTAAATCAACAATAATCAAAGGAAATGTGTCTTTGTGTTTTTTAACAGCATAACTTCTGAATTTATTTAACATGAATGCAATGATATACCCTAGCAAAAAGTTCCTGCTGTTGTCTTAATAATTCTTCTTCAGGAATGCCTAAATTTTCCAAACGTGTACTTTGTCGACGCCGCTTAGCTGCCATTGCTTTACAATCTTTCAAAACAGCTTCAGCCTCCTCTTTATATGAAGTGAATCCTAGGGCATCTAAAGCTATTGTAAAAATATTATATATATGTATGTATATTCGTGCAATAATTAAAAATCTTTTTTAAATAGTTTTAGATAGCAAATAAATTTAGACTCTTTCTGAAGGAAAAAAAAACACTTTATTAGTTGAAGTGTATTTTTAACTTAGTCCATAAAATGTACAAACATATCATAATCTTAGGTATTGCCTTTGTAAAGCTTAATAATGATCAAATAATTATCACAATCACTCTCAAAAATTTTCATTTTTTTTAAAATGCAAAAGCACTTGATTACACATCGTTGGATTCATATATCAAATTATAATTTTGAGATTAATGATAGAAATGCTGAAAATGAAATATAAGCGCAAAAATAAGAATAAAAATAAAATTACAAAAATGATTTTTGAAAAGTATAAAGCATCAATAAATAGTCCATTATCTGACTACTAACGTTAGTTTTGAAAAATCTTTCAGATTTTCTTTTAATGTACTTTTATAACATACTATATCCACTAAAAAACTCTTTATTTCGTATACAAAATTCAGGGTGGCCACTCAAATCCGNAATTCCCTGATAATTCCAGGTTTTCCAGGTGGGTGACCACCCTGAAAATTTTAATATTTTTTTATTTTAATTATCTGTGTTATAATGGTACATATACCAACTAACATTGAGCTTTTATATTTTCTTTACAAATTAAAATAATTTGAATGACGAGCAGAATGAATAAAGTTTGACTGAAAAAGGAATAAAATTTGAATGGTAAACAGAAACATAGTACCTAACAAATTGATTTATTATAGACATATAGTCTAAGACATCTTTAATAGAGATAACTTTAAACTAATTTTAAAATAGTAATTCAGAAAACCAAGTAAATATCAGCAAAAATGAAAACTGCATAAGGTTTTTCAATAGCCACTTGAATAAAATGCAACTAAACATGAATTTGAATTTTCTAAGAATCTTTAAAAAGAATTAGTGAGTGTTTATAAATCATTGGTTACATTTTAGATCGAAAAAGTTTGAAAAATGGTACATGAACCAAAATAATTACAAAGTTTTGGCAATTATCTAACAGTGGCATATAAGAAACTAAAATGGAATTACGGAAGAGAACATACTCTTAGCCAATTTTAGATAATTCCATATTGGCATGTGTTTGTATTACTACCATAAACAAGACACCAAAAGTTTTAAACTTACAAAAAATATGGAAAGGTAATTTTTTGGGCACATTTCCGTATCACTGTCGCGCCAACTAAAACTGCCAAAGAGATTTTCATAAATAAAAAAATTTGGCAGGTTTTATTAAAAAAAATTGGCAAAGGTTTCCTTTTGAATTGGTTCTCTTTTGTTTCTCAAGCACAGCTGCCCGGAAGTTGCCAAGATTTGGAGATAGTTCTGCCGCAGATCACGATACGGAAATCTTACTCTTCTGAAATACACTAACACAGCCAATTGCAAAGAATTATAGAAAAATATGCATTTAATTTATAATACCTCCCAATACGTGTTCAGCTGATATGGTTTTCTTCTGCAGTTTATTACAAATATCATTAGCTTCAGTTGCTATATGATGAATAAATTCAGTACAACAATTAAGAATAAGTTCTCTAGCATCATTAGCGACACGTATATGAGGCAATAATTCTTTGATCATTTTATTCATCGCAGCCCGTGGTATGGTAAGATCTTCTTCTGTTTCAGCCATTATTACTTTTTTTGTAGCCTATTAAAAATTAGAGCGAATAATTTAAATTTCTATCACAAATCGTTGGTTAGCACATAAACAAAACCTACAACAAACGTCGGTAGTCTAATGTATATCCGGTATCTATTTCTGTCCAGATATAGTTTTTCTTAAATTATTCACCGTAAAGTTGAAGAGTCATCAATGGGGCAGAAATAAATATAAACAATATCGGAGAACGAGCGTTGGTTTGGGTTGATCGGGATTGCAAAGGATCTAACAATTTTATCAATGTAATTTGTTACTAATCTATCCTTATCATTTATACAAATTTAAGATATCTTTCATTCTTGTTATTAAATTAATTTTTTTACTGCGTTTGTTTAAATTTTCGACTAATGTGTGCTCAAACGAATGAAGTAAAGTATATCTCTGCGGAAACTGATAACAGCTTATTTTACTATTTATTACCCGGATTGATAAGTAGCATTGATCAAACATTGTTGTTAATTCATTTTGTTTTTCAAGATTATAGTTTGCATTGTAAAAATAAAAAAGAATTAAACATTAACCAAAACAAAGTGTGTGAGAATTAAGAATCTTCTTTAAATTTTTTCAGGATATCTTCTATTATATATTCAGTTTATTAAAATTAAAGAGCTTTTTAATATGAAATATTTCATTTTTTGAATTTAGAAATTGTAAATAGAGTAGAATTTTTATAGTGTCAATAAATCCATATGTGGCTTTTGTATATATTTTTTTCAAAACATGTAAATTAAAATTATGTTTGTTATTAATTTAATGGGGTTTGAAATATGTTCTTTAGTTCTCAATCAGAAAATAATATTTTTATACACTTTCGAATTTCGATCATTCTTGGAATATGGTATTTTTTGTACTAATCAGTATCATATATATATATAAAATGCTTTTTTGATTTAAAATCATAGTCATTAAAATCTATTAATTAGGGGGAATTTTAAATAAATGTTTGTCTTTATGTATGAATACTGAACTATGATAGAAATTTGTTTTCACTAGAACCATAAATGCATGCTCTTTTTTGCATGTGTGTGTTTTGCGACCAGGAGTTAGTGGCTAGTGCTCTAAATTGAATCTGTTTTAAATGCCTGAGATTTTAGATATTCATTCTTATCATCCTTCTTCCCTCCATTTCCTATCACTTTTTATCTGACCATAATTTTGAATTATTTTGATGTCTTCACTATGTGTGTAAATTTCATTGAAGAAGGTGTATATAAAGGAAGAATAGGATATTTTATGTATTTCTCTTCTCTATCAATTTTTTTTTGTTTAGAATATATAGCAAGTTATGTGAATTGCCAAATTTTTATCTATTTATTTATTTTTAATTATGCAGGATTCCCAGGGGTTAAGGAAAACCTGGAATTGTCAGGGAATTTTATTTTCACTCTAAAAATCAGGGAATAGTCAGTCACTTTTTTTTTTACAAAAATCTGGAAAATTCCTACATTATACATGGAAAACAGTCTTAAATTTTTAAAATTATAAGTAACAGTAATCAGTTGAGATTTGATTTAAATAATTCCAACATCTATTATAATTATGTGTTATAAAAATTCCCCATTTTAGTTAAACTTTTCCATGTTTACATCCTCTTTCAGTGATATTTCTTTTGCTCATAAAATCTAATATTTGACATTATAAATACAAAAATCAAAGTTTTCTGATGAAATATTTCATGTTATAGATAAAATATGGTCTGGATTTATTATATTTTTTGGAAATGCCTGAAAAAGTCTGAAAGAGAATTTATTTTCTGAAATTAAGGGTGAATGCTGTTATGCATTTTTATAGTGCATTAATTAATTGAGCAAAATAATATAATGTGTGCACTTTAGTATTTAATTTAGTTTAAAACTCTCAATAAATATTTTTCACATTTATTACTCTGGCGACTTTTTAAAGGACTCTATTTTAGATGGGGGAAAAATAATAATAAAGAGTTTTAAATTGATGTGATAAATGTTTAATTCTTATCTAGTTGCTCATGTTCTTAAAAAATCTATTGGTATCTATTCTATTTTGCTAGTGTTTGTTTAATTGATTCCATAAGTCAGAAAACTCGTCATCTTCATATGAAATTGACTATAGTTGATTTATTTCAAATTTAATGAAAATTAATTTAATTTTTACTTTTATAGATATCTATGATGGAAAACTTAAAAGATAATTTGCAATCAGGAGAAAAAAATCTCCCGATCTCCACTCTGATTTTTATGGATGTGGAAGCAACTGGACTCCCTTCCTTCCTAGGAAAACAGAATGTACACATTACGGAAATAACACTAATTGCAATTGACAGAAGTGACTTTGAAAATGACAAAAACCAACGTGTTCTGAATAAGTTAAGTTTATGTGTTCGTCCTAGAGCACAAATTTCACCTGGTGCTATGTCAATTACAGGTAAATTGCTTTATTGTGGAAATTTTGAAAATTAAATATGCGTGATATGCACTCAATATATTAATGCTTTTGTGCAGAAGCCAGTAAAGCTGAAGTGGTGAAACACAATTAACTAGTTATTAGTGTTTCCTCCCCCCCCCCCTTCCAAGCTTACGAAAATAAAACATTATTTAAGTTTAAAAGATAAAAATTTACTGTGAAATAAATTAATACAATCTTATTTCCATAAACTCTATTATCTGAGCTTTCTTTTTGGCTAAAAGCAAAGGGTACCTAAAAACAATTAATTTTAAAAACTATATTTATTTATAAAATATTTATGAATTAAAGTTCTGAATTGTTATTTAAAAGTTATGATTATAAATAAAGATTACTAAACTGAACTAATTTAAATTTGACGAAATTTTCTGATAAGCTTAACCTACATTTTTTTACCTTTCTTATTTTTAATTGATTAATAAGAAATTAAATAGTTTCAAGGATTGAGTTTGAAATTAATTCAACAATTTAGAAAGAAAAAAAGGAGATTTTGATTTTTTTATATTTTACAAAAAATCTTAGTTTATTAGTTAGTAAAATTATTCCAAAAATTGTATGAAGCATATGAAATGTATATTTATTATCAACAGATTATATCACCCACATTTGAAAAATTTAGGGTGCAAAATGTTGTCTTAATTCTTAATAAAAGACAGAAAACAAACTTTATGTAAAATATACAACATGGCAAATGCATAATTTTTTTTTTTTGATTCAGGATTTAGTATTTATCGAGAAAAGTTTACAAATTTGGCAATTGTCTTAAATTTTTAAAATTGTAAGTAACAGTAATCAGTTGTTGATATTCCTATATCATACCTGGTTATTTTNTTATTCCAAAAATTGTATGAAGCATATGAAATGTATATTTATTATCAACAGATTATATCACCCACATTTGAAGAATTTATAGTGCAAAATGTTGTCTTAATTCTTATATTCTTAATAAAAGACGGAAAACAAACTTCAAGTAAAATATACAACATGGCAAATGCATCATTTTTTTTTTATTTATTATTATTATTTTTTATTCAGGATTCAGTATTTATCGAGAAAAGTCTACAAATTTGGCAATTTGTTAGGTCAGTCTAGGCTGTAACAAATTATTCCCCTATTTAAATATTTCAACAAGGGCTCCCACGGGACAGGGAATTTTATTTCAACTCTAAAAAGCTAGGAGTAGTCTGGGAAAGTCTACTCCTAGCTAGCTCCTAGATTTTTAAAAAATCCTGGAAAATAACCAGTATTAGAATTGTCAGTAACAGTAATCAGTTATTGAGATTATTAAATAGGTCTAACATCTGTTACAATTATTTTATAAAATTCCACTTTTTAGTGAAACTTTTCCATGTTTCCTTTCTCATGCTGTTATATGTTTCTGCCCTCAAAATTTGATATTTGACATTACAAATTTTTAAAAAAAAATCAAAGTTTTATGATGAATAATTGCATAACATAGATTAAATATGGCATGAATTTTCATTGAAATTTACCTGATTTACCCAGAGAAGTCAGGGAATTTTTTTCTTTCTGAAATTGAGTGGGTACCCTGTTTTGAGAATTAATTTGCTTTCCCTCTTCAAGAACAGGAATCACACTTTATTTCTAAAACATGTTTTATCCTTTTTCAGGTTTGTACAATGATATGCTTGAAAATCAAGAGCAGTTTGATGAAACTGTTCCTAAGTTATTGAAATATTTTTTCCGACGTCTGAGGCCACCAATTTGTTTACTTGCACACAATGGAAGAAGATATGACTTTCCTCTTCTTCAGGCTGAATTGAAGCGTATCAGCTATTCATTGGGCCCAGGTGTATTTTGTGGTGATACTTTAGAAGCACTACGATCAATTATAAACTCACCCCCAATTCCCATAGGTACTAAAATCAATAATGTTGTATTAATTCCCTCTGAATCATCATACACATGTTCTATTAACAAGGAAAATGTTGATGTTGAAAATCAAAATAATGCTACTGCTGAAGCTCAAATTAATGTTTCTGTAAATCCAGCCAATATTGTTACAAAAACTTCTAAAAATGTAAGTAATGATGCTACTGTTGCAGCATGGAACTCACCATCATCCGATCAAGATATTGAGGACTTACTCTTAGAAGATATGGATATTTTTGCTGATATTGATAAGAAACTATGTGATATTGAAATGGAATCTACAAAATCTATTTACACTGACATAGCCAAAACTAGTGAAACTAATAAGGAAAAATTAAGTGATAAAGATAATATAGCATATAGAAATGAACATACGCCAACTGGCAAATCAACTGTGCCTGATGATAAAGGATTGAAAAGGTGTAAAAAGCCGATTTCTGATCCTACATTTTCTCCCAAGAAACAATATAAATCAGATGGATATATACACTCTGAGGCGAGAAGAAGATTATTTGAAAATGGAACAAATTCTCGAACACCTAAGTTTATTGCCAAACCTCAAAAGATGTCATTTTCATTGCCTAAATTGTATCATCACTTTTTTGGAGAAGACCCTCCACAGAGCCATTATGCTGAAGCTGATTGTATTACTCTGAGTAAAGTTTGTCAACAAGTTTGTTCAGAATTTTTGCATTGGATTGATGAAAATAGATTTCCTTTTGATAAAATTAAGGAAATGTGGTAAAGGGGGGACAGATTTTTTAAACATATTTAGCACGAAATTTTCTCTAATTTATAACTTTTAAATATAAATTTTAAATTATATGATTTGGGAATATAATTTTAATTGCTTCTTCATATACATCAAGAAAAAAAAATGAAATGCTTAATTTGTGCATTTTAAACTGTTTTTAGAAAATATTGTATTTTTTTAATATGTATTGTATTGTATTATTTGTATATTGCGACACATAGATTTTATATCTTTATTTCTTGAATAATTTTTACAAAGCATGACAATATTTTATTTGAATGATGAATGTTATTTGAGAAATGTTATGTTTAGAAATTCAAATTGTCTAATTCATTTGCAAAATGTTGTTTCTGTAAATTAACCCTTTGCGATTGCATTTTGTTGATACTTAATTAGAATTGATATCTGAAAGCAGCCGTATTATGGTAAGGGTTAATATGATTTTAATTATATAACTTCATATTTTAGCATATTTTAAATTCCTATTTTTGTGCTTTTATTCTATATATTTAGATTTTTCTCAATTAGATGTTAAAGTTTTTAATGTAATAAATTATTTTTATGAGAATGGATTTTACAAATTGCTTTTAAATATTTATTTGCTATATTCATCATTTTATATAAAGGAGACATTTTATAACTTCTAATTTTGAAAATAATAACTCAGGTTCGATGACACGAAAAAATTAAAAACTGATTAAAAATTTTTTTTTACTAAGTTATTGAAATTATACTTTTAGCTGCATAAAGATAAATTGCTTTGCAGATTNCGGTAAATGAAGATCAGCGTTGTAAGTTTATAACTGAAGAAAACTCAAACTTATGATTAGAATTCTAACTATGCTGGGCGACTTTTAGTTTGTCAAGTGAACGATAGATATGAAACTAAGATTAGAAGATAAGATTAATTAGAAACACTCCACCAAAAATGATAAAGATTTGGTTTGTGATAGCTATTCATTATGACGTTCAATCTGCACAATGTAAATCTTCTTTAGTACAAGCTTTAAAAACTAAAGTTTTTAGCAGTAGGAAAGTTTTTTAGCACTAAGCTAAGGTTTTTTAGCAGTAGAAAACTGATAACAACTATTTTATAAAACCAGACAGTTCCAATAAACTTTATTTCCAATACCCCAATGTATTAGTTTAAAAAAAGTCTATTTATATAATTTAATTTCTACTATAAGTTTTCTCTGAGAAAAAAAAATATGATTTTTTTTTTTTTTTTAGAAAAGAATTAGAGGATTAGGTGCAAATTTAATTTTTAAATTACATAAAACATGTCATTAACTTTATTAAATTAAAATAAGGGCTTGTTAGGCAGATTTTGGGATAACAGGTATTACATCCAAATTACATCCTGTTTGCTAGTTGCAAATATAATGAAGCATCTCTATTTTTTCAAATTATGCTAACGCATCTCTACACTAAGTGTATATGTGCCTAAATTTGTCAAACTAAGTTTTGCAAAGTTTCAGACTCAGAAATTAAGAGCTGATGTCAGACGAGAAACCCAATTGAAATACATTGTGGATGAGAAAATTTTGTTAACTTGCGTCTAACTTTAGAATAGCAATAGAAACTTAATGACAAATTATTGACCTAAAATAATGTTGTAAAGTTTATTTATTTATATGTATTAAGGCACATTAAGTCAGGCAAAAAATAGTAGTATTGAAAATATTACCATTTTTTTTAATGAAATAACTAATTTGCCAAATCAGAAATATTCCGAATAGTGTTGTTTTTACTCTGTGTAATTTTTAAAACACAATATAAGATTTTCCTACTGAATAATATAAATTACAACCTGCTTGTTCTAAAACTTTATAATAAATTAAAGTTAACATAGTTAAACAAATATGAGAAAAACATTTGCAATTACTACAATTTTCATTTCAAATGCTATTGAATTTAAGCATTTCATTTTATTTAAAAATATTTGCAATAAAACAACATCGAATATCTAATGGCAACAAAAGAAATTTGAGTTAAAATTCTTTCAATTTTTCCGCTTCTTGTTTGCCAGCCCAAATTTTAGTTTAACTTTTTCTTCTTATTTTTTCATTTATAAAGACATCCAATAGGCTATTCTTTCTATGACATTCAATAAGTTTTTTTTTCTGAAACTTTACAATACTTTGTTTGACAATTCAAGCCATTTGTATTTCAAATTTTGTCACCATAGGAAATGACCAGAGGGGCAAATAAAATAGAATTATCTGAATATCTTTTATACTTATTATTGCTTACAAAGTGTTACCTTGTATTTTTTAAATCCATTTTTTTCTCACAACAATAATGATGTACATATTTGCTTTTAAAATTTTATTTATGACAGACGCATTTAAAAGTTATTAGCATTTATTTTTCATGCTAATTTTTAAACGACATAGGAAATATATGGTGATTTTTCAAATAATTTTTCCTTACATTTAAAGGTTAGTTAGTGCTTTTGAAGTGTATTGCTTATACTTATATGTATTTAAAATTTCCAAGATTTTAATTATGTCTATACATTAGAATTATTTATTAATCTGTATTAATAAATTTGTTGCCATTGTTAATTGTAAAAATGTGATTGTTATGCAATATATTTTTATTACAAAATTTTTAAATTAATGTAATAAATATTTTTGTGAAAAACAAAATTGTCGTTCTTTCTTTTATGTATTTTATTGCTTCATTAGAATATTAATTATTACATTCTTAGAGAAATTTTTGGGAAACAATCATCTTATTAATTACCATCTTTCATGGGTCTTAGAAATTTTATATATTATAATGTAACCGTCGTTGAACAGCTGACCCGATTTTGGGTTTACAGCTACTAATGTTCGACTCCGCAGTCTTGAAATTTTGAACCAATCCAGAAGACAAGGAAAATCCTGGATCAGTACCCCCAGAGGTATGCTTTGTTATGGGAACATGGAGGAGTTTCAGACTCGACAGATTTAATGTGCATCAGTCACCATTTACTACACGGGAAGTCTTCGGCCGGTGGAGATCGAACCCACGACCTCTTGGAGATGAGCCCAGTGCCCTACCAACCAGGCTATCCTGGCCCTAGAAATTTTGTATAGTTAAATTTAAAGTTGATCACTATTGTAATAGTCACAAAAAAGGCTTTTTTTCATTATTGATAACATAATTGGCATAACATATTTTTCTTTTTTTTTTATCATTCTACAGGTTTTAAATTATGTAAAATAGCTAACAAAAAAAATTTTGTGGGACACAAAACACATCTATAGTTGATGGAAAATATGTTTGAAGCTATTTGCTGCTGGATTAATTTTTTTTAATTTTTTATGTAAATATTTATTTCAATAAATTTGAATTTTCATTTAAAATGTAGGTGTAATCCTAGGATGGTATTAGAATAATATATATAGAGAGAATTTAAACACTGTAAAGCTGTTTTCCCTTTCCAGTTATACCTCTTCTATAGCACAATGGAACTTCTTTTATTATATACACTTTTTATGACCAAATTTTTTAAATTTTAATCCTTGGACTGTTGGGGGAAAGTTTATATCCATTCTCTTTCAGTATCAATAAAGGAATTAAGCTATTTCCTGAAAGCCCCTAGAAAATTTTAAGCATTTTCTTTTTATGTCCATAAAAATAAAAAAATGTCCATAAAAATATGTCCATAAAAATTCTTTTTCATAGTAACAGACCTCATAATAGGATCAATTTAGCCATTGCTGTTCGTAAATAGAATGAGGAATGAAATTTTTTTAAAATTTTACCTAGTAAAATTTTAAAAACTTTCTATTAAAAAAATTTCAACCAAATTTAAAAAAATAGACTATTACTAAACTATTAGCCAGATTATTATATTTTTTCAAAGCATGGAATGATTCCCAGAAATCGAGCTCGGTAAATGAAGGTCAGCGTTGTAAGTTTATAACTGAAGAAAACTCAAACTTATGATTAGAATTCTAACTATGCTGGGCGACTTTTAGTTTGTCAAATGAACGATAGATCATATCGACAAAAAATCTGATATATACCACTGCTTTAATGCTTAATATAATGAGTGGGACTTACCAAATAAACCATCCTGCACGTTTTTTTTAAAAAATTTTTACATTTGAAAAAATTGAAAACAGGTAGTGAGCAAGCAGCATCCTTGCAGTCTTCGGATCCTCCTCCGGAATATTTCCAGGACCATCACTAATTGATCATTAGGCAGCTCTAGTGAGACGTAAAAAAAGTACTGAAATTGGTTTCAAGCCTTAAAGTTTTTTTTCTTTCAATAGCAGTAGTAGTTCATTTACGTCGCACTAGAGCTGCACAATGGGCTATTGGCGACGGTCTGGGAAACATCCCTGAGGACACAGCAATATTNAATTTTTTATGTAAATATTTATTTCAATAAATTTGAATTTTCATTTAAAATGTAGGTGTAATCCTAGGATGGTATTAGAATAATATATATAGAGAGAATTTAAACACTGTAAAGCTGTTTTCCCTTTCCAGTTATACCTCTTCTAGAGCACAATGGAACTTCTCTTATTATATACACTTTTTATGACCAAATTTTTTAAATTTTAATCCTTGGTCTGTTGGGGGAAAGTTTATATCCATTCTCTTTCAGCATCAATAAAGAAATTAAGCTATTTCCTGAAAGCCCCTAGAAAATTTTATAATTTTTTTTTTATGTCCATAAAAATAATAAAACAAAATAGTTTAAATGCTATCAAAATGTGAGTGGCATATAAAAAAAAAATTCTTTTTCATAGTAACAGACCTCATAATAGGATCAATTTAGTCATTGCTGTTCGTAAATAGAATGAAGAAAGAAAATTTTTTAAAATTTTACCTAGTAAAGTTTTAAAAACTTTCTATTAAAAAAATTTCAACCAAATTTAAAAAAAAAAATTAGACTATTACCAAACTATTAGCCAGATTATTATATTTTTTCAAAGCATGGAATGATTCCCAGAAATCAAGCTCGGTAAATGAAGATCAGCGTTGTAAGTTTATAACTGAAGAAAACTCAAACCTATGATTAGAATTCTAACTATGCTGGGCGACTTTTAGTTTGTCAAGTGAACGATAGATCTTATTTTAACAAATGTAATTTGTTCATATTGCCTCATATTCGAATTGCCTCATAATGCCTCATATTCGAATTCATATCGACAAAAAATCTGATAAATACCACTGCTTTAATGCTTAATATAATGAGTGGGACTTACCAAATAAACCATCCTGCACGTTTTTTTAAAAATTTTTTACATTTGAAAACAGGTCGGAGCAAGCAGCATCCTTGCTGTCTTCGGATCATCCACCGGAATATTTCCAAGACCATCACTAATTGATCATTAGGCAGCTCTAGTGAGACGTAAATAAAGTGCTGAAATTGGTTTCAAGCCTTAAAGTTTTTTTCTTTAAATATCAGTAGTAGTTCATCTACGTCGCACTAGAGCTGCACAATGGGCTATTGGCGACGGTCTGGGAAACAGCCCTGAGGATGATCCGAAGATACGCCATCACAATTTTGATCCTCTGCAGAAGGGATGGCACCCCCGCTTCGGTAGCCCAACGACCTGCATGCGAAGTCAAGCACTTTACGGCAGCATAGTTTAACGAGGACCAATACCGTACACCATCTGTCCCTACGCAGATTGATCCAAGTGGTCACCCACCCGCACACTGACCGCAGCCAGTGATGCTTGACTTCAGTCCACTGCGATCAGTCCACTGCGGGACTTCTTTCGATCAGTCCACTGCGGGACTTCTTTCAATAGCATACCAACCCATTGAGCAGCTTTTGTGCAACGTAATTTAATAATAAAAAAACTTGAAATGCACACTAAAGTAATTATTTTGCAGAAAAGAAGTGCGTAAATTTAAAAATCGTTGAAGACAGAAATAAGTCACAGGAAGCGCACAATTCATTTTGATGAAATGTAAACAAAAACAGTAGAAAATTATTTTACGTAGGTAAGATATTGAAGTTAATGTTCGGAGAGTTTTTTTTTTCTCTATTACTTTTACTGTTTTGATTTCTTTTGCATTGATTATTAAATAAATTTTATTTCATTTTATTTTCCGGAATGATAATATATTTTATCTATCTATTTTATCTTTATAAAAAAGAAATTCAGAAAATGAAAGAAATATTAGATATCTAATCATATCTAATAAATTCTCGACAATATAAGTTACATTTTGATTTTATATTAGAAAAAATATCCCCGAAAAAATCTTCAAAATCCATAGAAATAACAATAATTATGGTTTTGAATCCATATTTTTTTCATTAAAATTGCTAAAATGAGATTTCAATTTAGTTGCCCACAAGTTTGGCTGAAACAAAGCATAACTTTAAAACAATTATAAATAATTTTTGCTATAAAAATTCATGTAATTTAAAAAATCTCATTTTAATTTAAAATGTGATGTTTAAAGATTAAAATTGAACAACGTTCCAAGTAAAAGTTGAAGAATTCAGTTAGTTACGAATTTTTATTTTATTTTATAATCGTCGTTCAACAGCCAACCTAATATTTGTTATGAATTTGAAATTTTTTGCATTTCGATTGAGTCTTGAATATTCCATAACTTGGGGGAGATTCCGTATCGTGATCTGTGGCAGAATAATCGCCAAGTCTTGGCAACTTCCGGGACAAAGGCCCGCGATAAACTAAAAAATATAAAAAACATCACAGAAAAAGACTATATCGAAAGGTATAAATCTTAGCCAACCCCGGGGAAATATCTATAAATGTTTTTTTTTTCAAAATTAAATTGTAAGTTTAAAATCTATTTGGCACCTTGACGATTGTAGTTGGCACGATAGATCATGATACAGAAGTGTCCCTGTAGCCTATATTAATTTGCTGCATCAGGAATTTTTTTTTTTAAAATTTAAATGTAAGTAAAAAGATAAATCCCAAGTTCATACAAACTTACGTTAGTTTCACTTTATGCAGAAATTGTTTAACCTATAGACTAGTACACTAGAAAATACACAGTTTTTTCTGACTTGTATTTCTTTTTTAACATTTCAGTTACTACTCGCCAATATTTTCTCATCTTCCATTTGCTTTATTCCCATAGCAGCCTTTCAAATATTACCTAAGCATATTTTTGGCAATAATAAGCAATTTAAAATCCGCTAAGACAGAAACATAAAAATATTGCAACACCTTTCCTCGGTTTTTGCTTTAACTTTGACTTTTGTTGTAGTAGTCTGAGGATCTAGTTTTGGGATTAAATTCAAATAAAAAAAATTAACTTTGCAATAAATAGAGTTCAAGTTTTAATTCATTTATAAAGTTTTGAGAAGAATATTCTCAAGGAATATTTTGTGTTTTCTTTTTGTATTGAAAACTGTTGACTTCTGAAGCAACAGGTGACTCTTTTATGAAATTTTTCTCCAATTTTTTTTTTCTCCCCATGTTGAACTTTTATTCCACATTTGAAATTTTCCATGCCTAATTTTTTTGTTCACTATTTAGTTTTTTTTAAAGAAAAAATTGAAAATAATTAGTCTTTAGGTCAAAACAAATTATTAGGTTTCATCAAAAATAAGTAAATCATAAATTGCTTTCCCTCCTTTTAAGTGTTCGTAATATTTGACTAACCCCATATTAATTCTCTGATTTCACATATCTAAATCATTATAAATTATATGCATTCTGCAATGCATTTGTAATTATCAAAATTTTTATTGCAGCATAGTACCTAGATGCAATTCTATTTCTAGGTTTTGCTTTTATTGTGAACTTAATATTCTCTAAAATTTCGTCATTTTTATGTCAATTTTTTGCTGAGATATTCATAACATAATAAAGATTCTTCTACTTTAGTCATGAAGTTAATTTTCTAATATTAAAAATTTTTGCTTTACCAATATTACGAGTACCAATATTACCAATATTACCATTTTATGAGTAAGAATCCCTTACATACTAAAGATCCTCCAATTTTATTTGTTAACTTAATTTTCTAGTATTCTATTATTCAAAATTTTACATTCCCATGACTGTAATTTATTATACAGTTTAAAATATAAAAAAAGTTCTGCTTTACTCGTAAAATTAATTTTCTAATATTAACATTCCCTTGACAATTTATTATTTAGAAACTGAAATACATTAAAGATGTCTGTGTTGCATTAAAATAAAATTAATCATATTGTTTTCCTTATTTTTAGGTATGGCATTTTTAAATCAAAAGAAAATGTATTTGGAAAAAATTGATTTGAGTAGAAAATCTTCAATTGATGAACATATTTTAGAACTGGTTAAATTCATAAATAATTTGGAATCCTATGTCACAACAAGTTCATGTTCTGGAAGAATAATTGTTTTCACTAATTCTGTATGTAGGTTTTTTTCCCTCTCTTTATTGGAAAATGATTTATTTGAACTTGTGTTATTTAGAATATATTGAATCTATGTTATTTAAAATATATTTTATTTTTTTATACTCCTACATCAAATCTAGAGATTATTTGTTATATAAATGTTGTATAAATATAAATGTTTGTATAAATGTTTGTGCTATGCTATGCTTAGAGTTTTAAGATAAGAATTTTTTTTTATTAAGTATAGCTTTTCCTCCATTTGTCCACTGAGTAAAATTGTTCATGATAATTTTTCTAAATGTATTATGTCTCTATTTGTATTACTAATGTATTACTTTGGAAGATCTTCCGACATTCAATTTTACACAGACAAAAGGACACAGGACGTCTCACAGACAAAAGGACAATAAAATAGACTTGAAAGAACATTCAGAAAAGTTATAAACAGCTCATAAACAAGTCTCCTCTTTTTTTCCTCCTTTTTTTTGAAAAAAAAAATTTCACTCATGACTTTTTTTTTAAAAAAAAAGAGAAAAGTGGAGGAAAAAGAAAATTTAGAAAAAGTTTCTGCGAGCTTTGCTGAGAAAAATTATTTTGATCTGCTCGAAAAGCGGCTAGCAGAATTTTCTTTAAGAGTGTTACATAAAATCTGGGATATTATCGGTATAGGGAATTTTCATGGACCATTGGGAAATTATGCACGAAGCGGGATAATGCACAAACCGGACAACGTAAAACTGGGATTCCACTGTGTATATATATGTGTGTGTATGTATGCATAGATATGTATATATATGGTTTTAAATTTAGAATTAATTAAACGTTGGGTTGAACTGTTGCTTTAAATTTGTTTGCTGATATTTTCTTTTACTTTGGATTAAGTTTACTTTGGTTTTAGTTATTTGTTTATAATTTGAAAATTAAATTCAATAATTATTCTGCAATTAAATTCACTACTTATATACTTGTTATTAACTTTCATACAATTGAATAGATTGATTCTTTTTATTGCTTGAAAAAAATATGGGGATGAACAATGAAATGTTCTTTGCACATTTTAATGTGTTTATTTTCAGAACTTTTACATATACTACATATTTCTACATCTAAACAACATTACCAGTATTTGACTTATATTGTGAAAAATAAATTTCATATTTCAGACCGTTTAATATATAGATTAACCATACCATTACCTATTCATGTAACAAAGGGCGAAACAACCACTGCTAACAGCAAGAGTAATTATGTTGACAATATTAGTGATACTGTAAATGAATCTTTATTTAAAAGTGTTATTCATGTGAGTTTTGTTTTCATACTATTTGTTGGGTTAAAGAGGAGAAAAAAAATTAGAATTGTTAGGAAATATTGAAAATTCTTAGAAAAGAACTGTTTGTTAAATTATTAAAAACATTAATAATTTGATTAAATGAAATGAAATTTAATGTAATTTTATATTTTAAAATGCCCTATGCATCTAACATTGAAAATTTTTTTTCCAGGAACAAAAGAAAAAAGGATGTAATTGGCTCTTTGTAAGCCATGGTATTGTTTCAAGTGAGAATATAGTAAGTTAAAAGTTTTATTTATTTTTTAATTTTAAGTGTGCATAAGAAAATTTGTAATTAATAATGGATTAAGCAAATTATTGAAACATTATTTGTGCTAATGAGTATTTTATGTTTTAAAATTTTTATATTCCTTATAACTTTTAGGAAGAAGCTTTAAATTCTCACAGTGGCTCTGCTGTTTTAAAATTTGAACCTTTTGTCATGCACGTTAGATGCTCCTCCATCGAGAGTGCACAGAAACTGGTAATTGTTATCTTAAGTCAAATTCATATACTTTTTTATTTTTGGAGTACAATATTTTTAATTGTTGTGACTATTTTTCTTCAGTTGGGAATGCACAGAAGCTGATAATTGTTGTTTTAAGTTACAGTTATATGTTTATGTATGGCACCTAATATTTTTAATTGTTGTAATTATTTAATTTTTATTTTTATTTATGCCTTTGTAAACTCTGTCATTCTTGATTGTTGAATGAATTCATTAAAATTGTTTCAAATTATTATTTTTCTATTTATATATTTATTCACATTTGCTTCATTTTTAATAATAAATTTTTTTTTTCTAGCACACCTGTAGTCTGGAGTCTGGATTTAGAAATTCAGGACTAACTATGAATAAAAAAGGTGGAATAGTTTTGGTTTGTAATTTAAGCATTATTATTTAAGTTTTTAAATTCTGTTGCATTTTTCTTTTGAGGTACTCTACTTATCAAAATCTTTCTTGCATTAAAAGACTATGATAGATAAAAATAGAAATTTGATGCATTTATAAATATTATAAAACTATTTATATGTTTATTTTAAAGTTACCTGTTTATTTTTTTTTTAGAAAAAAACAAGTTATAATTGCCTTTTATTTTACATAAAATAAAAATTATAGTTATTTAAATAATCATCAAACTTCTTAATTTTTTGCAGGCTATTAGGAATACATTGTCTCTTGAGGTACCTTTATCTTGTGATGGAAAGTCACTTGTCTCTTCAGAGGTGAGATATTTAATTTTTCCTATTTAAGTTTTATTAGTTATTATTCTTTATTTATAATAATTACTTAGTATAATAATAATGGATTATTTTAAATAACAATAGAGTCTTTAATTATAATATTTTTAAATAAGTTATATTGTATACATATTTGACATTTTTATTTTGCATTCAAAATGTGCTAAACAAGAGGCTAACTTTACAGTTGGTTAAACATATCTGAATTTTCCAAAATTTTTTATTGTAAAAAAATTTCTAATGTGAAAAAAAAGTTCAGTTGAAATTTATGTTGTAGTTTTTCTATGCACTTCCATGTAAATACCTTTCTTTTTAAATCATGTTTTAGACCCATAAGCAGTTCTCAACTTAATGGAGATCTTATAGTCCAGGGCCACTAAAATTTGAATTGGACCGTTAAAAAATAAATTATCACTAGTTCCTCGAACCAGCAATTGATGTAAATGGATAGAATGTTTTTTTCTCATGTTTTGGTCTTTGTTTTTGTTTCATATTTCATTATAATTGGGAACATTACTCATTCTCTATATCATAATTTTTTGTTTTGTTTAAATTCGATTTATTTGTTTTAAATGAATTAATGAAAATGTATATGGATTAGTAATCGCTTTTAGTTACTGGTCCTTTAGAGCAGTGACTAAATTTTCTTAAATTCACCCTATGGATAAATGTTTTCTTCAAATGGTTCATATTTTAAGATTCTCAGTTGTAAGCTTTGTGTAAACTCACATCTTGAACATACATGAATTTAAAAAAAAAAATGTAAATGAATTTAAATAGCTTTTTGTTCTTACTAGTGAAATTAACTTAAATTTTTTGAATCTGTTTAGTATATTACTCATGTTGTGAGCATATGTAATGAAAAGATGGAAGAAAATTGGTGTCGTACTGAAAAGTAAGACCGAGTTTTGTTTTATAAATGTATGTTTATTCGTTATATGAAAACTGACTCAGCATGTAGTTTATGTTATATTTTGATTATGCATGATTTGAAATTTATGTCATCTTTAGAAAATTAAGTATTGCTTTTTTTTTGAGAAAAATTAAATCAATCTAAATTAAATGATACCAATCTATTTAATGCTTGCAATAGAGAGGAAATAAAAACATGATATATAATAATAAAGCGTGGTAGACTGCTTCGTTACTTCATTATCTTTAGTGTTTTAAACTATTTCAAAAATGTTTTTTTGTTGCTCTTTGTTAGTTTTTTGAGAGAGGTTTAAAAAATAATAAGCTGCAATAATATTAATTAGTGTACATAAAAACCTAGCTAGCAAATCTAAAAGTTAAACAATATTTGATTATTGAAATGCAGGCCTTTGTAGAGCATATCTTCATATTGAGCAAAAAAGACTTTTAATAAGTATACTATCTTAATAATTTTGTTCTTCCTCTTCTTATTTTATTCTGTTTTTTCTTATTTACCTTCAAAATGAATACATTTTTTTACATGCAAAGATTTTTTTATACATATATAAGTGAATTATAAATGGAGTGAGAAAATAAATAATTGTTACAATACTTCCAGAGACAAAAAAAGGAAAAAAAAAAAGAAATCATTCATGAAAACTGTATTCATACTTTTTTTTTTAAATATAAATATATGTAATTTATATTTGTGCTATAATTTATTATTTTTAAAAGCAATAACGATTCTTTCTTTAATTTAAAAAAAATCACGACATGTATTTAACTGTAATAATGTTTGTTTTTCTTCATTTGTAAGATATATTTTTCAATAATTTAATCTTAAAAATGTATTACAGGCTTTTTACCAGCTTAAAGACTTTATCTTGCAAAGTAAATGAAAACTGTACGAATAGTGAGAAAAATTCTTCAATGTTAGAAGAGGACTTTTCAGAGGAAGCTCAAAGTTCTGAATACTGTAAAGAAAGCAGCTGTAATACATCTGACGATTTTGTAGTGTCATAATTTTAAAGTAATCAATTATCAATCAGAGAGAATTATCATCTATGTATTAAAATCTTTTTATTTTTTCTATTAAAACTTGAAGCATTTTAATATGTGTGTTTATTTTTTTTAATGTGTAATATGAGACCTATGTTAGAAAATAGTCAATGTTCATTTTTCTTGAAATTAAGGTTTTGGATATTTTATGAGTGATAGAAAGAGGAATGACTGAGGAGACTAAATTTTTGAAAACTATGTAACACATCCGACTCTCTGTATCATCTGTCAGTTAGTAATAGTAAAGGCTCAGACGATCACAGGGAGAAAAAGAATTTATTCAACAACGTAGGTCTATATCTAGAAAGTAAAAGCTATGAACTGATAAACACAGTCTATGGTTGGTCATTATACATCAACAGCTATCCAGGACGGAACGATAGTAACAAGTTTAAAAAGTAAGAAGTGATAACAAACGTCTTTATCCCACGCCTGTTCTGTTCTGTAACAGTTCCAGGGACAGCACTCGATAAGCTGTATGATACATATCACAGTCGCTCACTCCACCTCAGATACATAGGTGGACTCATTTAGCTTACTGACAGATCATCATGTGAAGTAGCCTTCCTGTGGAAGCAAGGTCTCGGTTTACATACAGGCAACAGCTGTACCCAGCACATGCTGTAAAGCAACTGTGTGGATGCATTACGTGAAACAGGTGACTTGAACGAGCCAGCCAGTGAACAAGTGAAGTGTACGAGTATCAACCATCAGTCCGCATTTATCCAGTGAACTTATTTACATAAACTTGATGCCAACACCTAATTGCTTAATATTAACTATTACGATACTTACNCATTTATTCAAATGCTCACTATTGCAACTGGAAGAATAACTTTTCAATTAACACACCTGTTTTCAATGAACGGATGAAAGAAATAGTCAAAAGCTTACAGTTTCCCTTGATGGTCAACTCACAAAAGGGTTTAGATTAGCTTTTTACACTATTTCACCAAACAAATGAAATTTTAACATGCATTGCCAAAATGACAGAAAATTTTCTTAATTTTTCTTTTCTGGTCAACTTATGAGGGTTTTAGAATAGAATTTCATAATACTCCTATATAAAATTGACATATTTCAGTGGTCAACATACAAGATAGACAGGTGGTCAAGTTACAAAGGTTTTGCTTCTTTATATTATATAGGAAAAATTCTGTTCTTGATAATTGAGGTCAACTTATGCAGGTGCCCAACTTACAAGGGTTGGTCAACTTGGCAGGTTTCACTGTACGAGTATCAACCATCAGACCGCATTTATCCAATGAACTTATTTACATAAACTTGTTGCCAACAGCTAATTGCTTATCATTATTTATTAAAATACTAACGAAAATAATTATATGCAAATATTTTACTCACAGTTATTGCAGAGAGATATGCTTATTCCTTACTGCTGACGCACATTGCAACTGCACCACCTCCTGACGATCTCCGTGCAATTATTGGAAGTATATAATCCATAATATAAACAAAAAGACCCAATTTCAGATGAGTGATGGCTGTCTCAATAGCTGATTTCAGAATCATCAATTGATGAACGACGCAATTTTTATTTTTTTACTTTGAAATATAATGTTTCAACAGATAAATATTTGTCTCAATGAAATCCTTTTATGGGGAAGGAAATCTTTTGAATGAGTCCATTAAAACCTTTTATCCCTCCAATGAAATCCTTTTATTTGATCCTTTTATGGGGAATAAAATATAATTTTTATTGGATTTAAAAAAGAAATTTTTATAAGTATTTATATTTTAAATGTTTTTTTTTCTCCCTTATTTCAATAGGTTACACTCCTTTTTTTAGTGGCGTTATCACTTTTTATACTTCTGCATGCTAATATTAAATAAAATATAAAAATACAGAAAACAGCTATAGTTCTGTTACTTGCTATAGATATCCTTACTTACAGAATGTATTTTATATTTCAAGAAAAATGTAAAATTAAATTAATGAAGATGGTCTTTGAAAATAATTTTCGTAGTAACTCTTGATTCTTTTTTCAAGCAACAAATTCTTTCATAATATTTTAAAATTACGTAATTAAATATATTTTTTAGAGTTCAATTACACATTTTATATTGATTTTGAATTACCAGTTATGCTATAGAGTTTCTCTACTGTAGGACTTCAACTCTCTAACATCCATTTATTCTGCACACCTTTGACTATTATCAGACTTATGTGAGATGCGTTTGTTTGCTACCCTATTCTACTCATATAACACATTTTGGTGCATAATTCATAAATCATGTAAATACTAAATGATTAATTATTTGTATTTGAATTGTGATTTAGAATTTGTAAATAGTTTGAATTCTGATTCATAATGAAGCACTGAGGAGAAATAGTTAGACCATACAATTTGCTTTTGATAATTAGTCAATTACATTTTTTTCTCACTTAAATATGAATGCGAATTTTTTTACGCTGATTCCGAAAATCCACAGTCAGGTTGTATATTCTTAAATTGCCCGAAAATTGTTACACAATTACATTTAAATATTTTTTATTGCTAAAGCACATGTGAAATGTTATGGAAAATTTATAAAAAGTATCTTTCTAGTAATAAAAAAAATTTTATTTTAAGTTTTAAGCAAATAATTAAAATAATAAAATGTATTTATATTTGATAATTTTTTAATCGAATTAAGGACCCTTAAAGGTAAAAAATTATGTTAAAACATGTTTAGTTATTTATACCGATAATGCTCATATACTGAAAGTGCTACCAGATTATATGTATTTTTAGATTCTTTTTCAGAAATGAAATTTTTAAAGAATTTATAATTTTTTTTTATTGTAAATTTAAGCGGAAATTTATTTCGAAAATTGGCCACTCATTATTGAGGAAAATTGCGATTCACAGGTTTGATTGCTAGGGGAAACAGGAAAGTGCTTTTAGTCACATTTCAATTTCTCTCAGCTTCTCTGGTCATTAAACAGATTTTGTCATGTCTTTTAGGCATGATGTCTTAATAGAATTTTTTTTCTTGCTTAAAATTTAATTGGGTGTTGGGGTAAGGATTTATATGCACCTTTTTAATAATTCACCATGTTTTAATAAGTTTTTTTTTTCTTGCTTAAATTTTATTAGGTATCTCCAATGTATAGATTTTTACTTCATTTTTGAAGAAGATTCTAAAATATATTTTAAGGATGGTGATTATGGATCACCCTGTATGTGAACAAAATCTAATATGCATTTTGAAAAATTCCCCATTAATATATATTTATAGAATGTTTATAATAATCCTTATTGAAGTTGAGGACAGACAGTATACACAGTTAGGCAGTAGACAGTATACACAATTTAAATTTTAAGATAGGATAAAACAAAAACGCTATCAGAATCTGGCAAATCACAGTTTAGGAAAGTGAGTACACAGAAAATCAAAAACCTGTTTGATCGAAGGTTGAAACTTGAAGGTATTTTTAATGATAGTCTTTCAACTCCTCTCTATTTCCTCCTGCTATCAAAAAGGTTTTGGTGTTTCCGTTTCATAAACTTACCTTCCTTAACTGTGATTGATCATATCTTTATAAAGTTTTTGTTGTGTCGTTGTTTGAAAGAATTTTTCTTAACCGTGATATGTTTACTTTTTTGTCATCTCTTTTGATAAGGATATTAAGAATATAATTTAAGGGTTGCCTATACGGAATACCCTGTATTTCATCAAGTGATGATGATATAATGCTCCTTTTGAACCGAAAAAATTTATTTCTTCATAAGCAAAATAATTTTTAAGAAATTTTCGGTTTATCAAATTTTATTTTATTTATTTATTTATTTTGTTGAAGTCCATGAAACAAATATACCAAAATAAATAATCCCCACTATTTCTGCTTCTCAGCTTATAAATGCGAAAAATAGTAATTTTTTTATTTTAAAGCTCTTTCCTCCGGTGCAGATTTTATTAAGATTTTTATTTTAAGAAAAACTTTTATTTTACAGGGCAGTCTCTAAATTGTTTGTGCCGTCGCTGATTTTACTTATACTTTAAGTTACTTTTACCTTCCGACCAAATAATTTTGAAGAAAAAAATATGGCAGTATTACATTTGCTCTATTCTCCAATTCTGTATTACAACTAAAAACTTTGTTAATGTTTATTATTTTTAGTTTTTATTTTTATCTCAAAAATGTAATCGTGAGAAACTCAAATCACACTACGAACTACTATATTCGTTACATTAATTAAAAAAATACAGCAACAGCTGCACATCGGTTTTTCCTATTTTCAGAATGAACAACAGAGCTTCCCGGATGCAAATCATGATTAATACGCGCCCAGGAGCTATTAACGTAATCCTTTGATGACTACATCACGGTATTCGTTAGTGATAAAATAATTGTCTTATTGGATATTGAACTTGTAAGCAAATGTTCGTTATTTATTTTAATAATTTTTACTTTGAGGCAAAATATATGAGAGAAGTGGAAAATGATTTATGGTCAATTGAAATACTTCGTTTTTATTTTTAGATGTACTGTTAATGAAATAGAAACAGAATACTTTTCGTTTTTTTTTAAAATTTAATTCTTGAAAAACATTTGTTACATTCACTAATTTCATTCTGAAACAATATTTGATAGCCATTTGACGCAGAATTTTTATTAAACATGTTTTTCATTTTTTCTTTGTTCTCATTATTTTGTATTAATTTGGGCCAAAACAAGTGAAAAATATATTTAGCATTTTAATAATTTGTGATTATGAACTACAACATGAAGCATCGGTGACTTTTTCTGCGTTAAAGGTAAAATCTTCCAAACACGGGTCACTTCCATGAAATTTTCAAAATTTTTACTTATTTGCTGTTAATTCGATCTAAGAAAAACACTTATTCATCATTGAAATTTCTGTAATTTTCTAAATCAATTATTGATACATTTTTGAATCTGAATTTTAAAAAAAAAGGAAGTACTTTTTTTTCGGTTTTTATATTTTAGTATTAATGTATTTCCGATAATCAGAGTAGTATTTTTTGTAACTATTAGACTGTTTTTTATAATTAAAAAAATGCCAAAATATAATTTTTCTGGTAATTAG